CTGTGTGTTAATAAAAGGGAGGATATCCCTGGTGGACCTAACTAATCAGGAGAGCTCTTACAAGAGAGACCAGGCCTTTAAGAAAGACTGCTGGCTTTCAAGGAACAGAGCAGGTGCCCCCCTGGTCTTGGAAGAGGGCCTGAGCCTGTGATGACCGCAAAGCCCTGGCCCAGGCTGGTTTGAGGAACAGAGTCTTCACTCTCCTTTATATTCTCATTGTGCCTCCTCTGGGTTGGTTTGCATATAGTGAGTGGCTGTGGTGGTCGGGAAGTGCTCCAACAATGCTTGTGAGAACCCAGGAAATCATTTTGCATCCCCATCCTCCATGCTGAAAACTTCAAAGCCTCCGAACAAACTCCAAACACGCAGGCTTCCAGAGCAGACCCAGTCACGTGACAGTGAATAAGGCCCCAGCTCTGGGCAAGTCCTCTTAGCTCCCTGCTTTCTCTGAGGGACTGGACCTGGAGATCACTCAGTTTATTTTATTTCTGAGGGATGTGGTCCAGACTAGGGGGCACAACTTCTACTCTACTGGACAGTGTCCCCTATTTCATACCCACAGTTGTCCTGTGAACCCTAAATTCGGTGAGAGCAAAGACAGCCCGGGCAAGGGTTGGACGTGGGGTGGTCATCAGCCCACCTGTCCCCCACCCCCTCTCCTCCACAGCCCTCTGGGTCTCTGCCTCTGTCTTCCTTCAGGCCATTTCCTAACAGGGCTTTCCACAGCTAATCCTCTGGACCTGGGACCTGTTACTGGTGTTTGTGAATGAGTGTAGATGATCAAATTCCTTGTACTTCCTTGACCTTCCCTCTCACAGATATTCCCTCCCAAGTCCTCTTTCAGCCAAGCTGGAAGTGCAGTCCCTTAAGCACCAGGCTGTCCAAGGAGGTCAGAGCCTCAAGCCCAGCCCTGGCTTGGAGGTGAGCGCTGGGACATGGTGGGGTGCGGGGATGGTGGTGGAGGGGAGGGATACCACGTGTTCCAAGACCTCTGTGCTTTGCATCTTGAGCAAGTCAGAGAGATAAAGGAGTCAGAGCACTCATCCCGAGTGCTGAGACACAGTTCCTCTCACGTCTTTCCAGGAAAAGGCGAGGGCTCCTGGAGCCGCGCACTTTCTAGGATAAAGACGTCTTAGCAAAGGCAGGAGGAGGAGGAGGAGGAAGAGAGGCAGGGAGTTTCTCTGCTTCTTGCCCTGCTCTTGCACTTCTCGGCTTGGCCAGGGCCAGGCAGGGCCCCCGGGGGGAGCACATTGATATTTGGAAATAGCTTATGGCAACTCCCCCGAGTGCTGGCGGTTATTTGTGGAGAAGGCAGAGAGAAGAAAAAGACTTCCAGCCCAGACCTCATTGCTTGTTGGGGGCCTGAATCCCTCTCCTCTGGTCCCTGCTTCCAGGTTTGCTCAACCCAGAGTCCTGGCAATGGGAGAGCTCTGGGAGAAGGCAGATCTGGAGCTGCGATGAGAAGCTGGCAGACAGACACTAGGGGACTGGCCCCAACCCCCCTCACCCACAAGACTCTCCTGCCAGTGACAGCTAACCCGAGGGAGCCCCAGAATGTCACTGGGCAAGCTGGGGGGGGGTCCACCGGCCGCTGCATCTGACTGCAGGTCAGGTCAGGTGCTTCCACAGTGAAGCACCGTGGTCGTGTCCCTGTGCGAGGACCATGGGCAAGTCACTTGGTCCTTCCGGCCAGCTTCTGTCTTTGTGTATCCTATTGGCCTTGCCTGTTGGCTCTGGCCGTCATCAAAGGAAGGCTGTTTTTGAGATCAGATATGTGAATGTTCTTACAATGTGAGGTTGAAGTGCAATTACTCACAGGGCCCATCTCAGAAGCCAGACCATGCTGTTGAACTGGATTAGTCATTTGCTGCCTGTAAGCATACAGCTACCTATAAACTGGAACTTCCTAATGGCAGCCTGTCACTTCCACCTAGACCCACCAGTTGATGCCTTCAGACCTCGTATTCCACATCCTCATCAAAGCTGAGGCAGAACCGCTGCTATTTTCCGTGCGTGTTTAGGGTGAGCTGTAGAAACACCAAGGGATGATGCAGTGATGACACCCCCCACCCCAGTTCTCCATCTTGGGATGTAACTCTGTGGGCCAGGCTGTTATTTTTGATTGCGATTTTTGACTCCATGGCATCAGCCCTCTCCCCTCTGGGCTTTCTGGATGGCAGTCCTGGAGCTCTTCTTTCCTGCCTTTGACATGATAAACACAACACCCTTTTCACTTAAGGGACTGGCTGGCTGTTGCAGGGCACACGTGTTCCACCTCTACCTTCAAGGGCAGTCGCTGTCCATCTCTGCACTGGGAGGAGCTAGAAAAGGACAGGAAGGGAAACAGGAAACAGGGAATGCTTTGTCCAAGCCCCTCTCCTCAAGGATGAACCATCTTTTCTGTGAGAAGCTGGAATTCTCTGCCTTTATTTTCCCAGCAGCCCAGTTCCCTCCCAGGGGTGAGCACCCCTGGGGGTAGAGAGTTAGGGGAGGGGTGGAGGGGGTGCGGCTGGGCGGCCGGGGGCTGGCTGTCAGGGCTCTGAGCGAGGCTGGGAGCCCTCCTACTCGCGATCCCCTTTTCCTTGGGGAACTCTCAGGGGATAAAAACAAGCTCACTGAGAACCATATTTTTCTGGGTGAAAGGTGAAAAATGCAGCATTTCCTCCAAGTGAAAAGCAACTGGGTCCGCCAGCTCTGGGCACATTTCCGAGATCTTCCACCCACTCGGGGAGGAGGCAGGCAGCTCCTCGCAAGGGGGAGAGGAGAGGTGGGCGGTGGGGGGAAGGAGGGGAGGGAATCGGAAGGGAAGCACCAGTGGCTCTACACCAGGGCTGCTGGGCGTGTGTGGGAAGAGGGCCTGTTTGTGTTGGAGGGGCCTGGCGACTGGATGGAAGGCAAAAGAGGAGGAGCAGGGCAGCTACTCAGGGTGTGCCTGACCCACAGGGGCACCGAGCTCCCTGGACTCTGGGGCAGCGAGGGGACAAGAAAGACCCCACGGGCCTTCCTGAGATATCCCACAGGTGAGCTGAGAGGAAACACAGGGTGCCTGAAAGTTTTCCTAAGAAAAGAAAGAACATTCCCCTCCCTGACCTCACCCCAGCCGTCCTTACTGAGAACTCATGGGAAGTTCGGGGGAATTTTCTCAAATCCTGCTTGTGGAACAAAAGCTTTTCAGGAACCCATGCTTCATGATATCCTTCCTGGGCAGGACAGGGGTGGCTGGCGTTAACCTCCGAGCTCACTGGCCACTCCTCAAACCTCTTCTTGCAGCCAAGAGTCCCGCCAGCCTTCCCCTCCGGCCTTCCACGGAACTGCTGCCACAAAACCACGCACAGGTCCCATCCCTCTCCAGGCCCTCCTCCTCAGAAGGATAACGTGGCGGCAGGTGGAACGGGGACAACAGGGGTGCAGCAGGCAGGGCTGGAGGAGGAGATGGTCCCTCCCCGCCTCAGCTGAGCTGTCACTGCAACCTCCTAGGACTTGCTGCCGTGGACTGTTTGCACTAATGGCCCAGACTGCTCACTCTCCCCGAATCCCTGCCCGGAGCCATGCGACTTTGTAGTTGCTCTCACAATGGAGATACGAGTCTATTCCTTCATCCCTTGACTGGAGGGACTCGAACTAACAAAGTGGCAGAAGAGGCACAGGGCAAGTCCAATCCTAGGCTGTCAAAGGCCTTGGACCTCGATTTCGGTGCTCTTGCCCTCCTCCATCGGTGTGCAAAGGCCATGTCAGGCTAGGTCACTGGTCCAGCAGGAGGATGGAGCAGACCCCGGTCACCTCCCCATCCCGGCCAAGGCCATGCTAAGTGAGCCACCCTACACTTGTGAACAAGTCCTGCTGAGGCTGGAAGAACCGCCAAGTCAAGCCCAACCCGGATCAGCAGGGCTGCCAAGCCAACCACTTAAGGCGCGGAGGCAATCAGCACATTTCTGCGGTACGCCACTGAGGTTTTGTGGTTGCTTGTCAGGCAGCATTATCAGGGCAAGAGATAGCAGATACACTTAGCAAGGAACCTGGGGGAGCCACAAAGCCAGCCTGAGTTCTCCTTGGGTCTCCTGCTCACCTAAACCCCAATCTAATCCCTCAGCATCAAGACCAAATTTTTATCCTCCCAACCACTGCTGCGTTTCTAGTCACCCCACGTTTCCTGATTTTGGGCCGCTGAGCAGGTAAAGGAGCTTGCTCCCAGCTTGGTACATACCATCTCTTAGCCTGCTCCCCCACCCTGAGCCTCCCATGTGACCAGCTCCTCTTGGGTCCCCCTGCTCTGGTGCCCTGTCACCCACGGCATCTCTACGGCTCTGATGCCATCACATGTCACCCCTCCCCTCCCACCCCTTTTGCATCCCACCTAGAGCAAGGCAGTTCAGCATCCTCATCAGCTTCAACACACACTCCCAGGTCCCCACCCCCCAGTTACCACGTGTTTCCCTGGATAACAGTCGTAGAGAGAAACAGTTCATCCACAGCACAACTCTTCTGGCTTCAGCTCAGCTGAATATTTTGCTCAAATCACTTTTTTTGGACTGAAGGCAATTGATTCAAAATGTGATTCAACTGGAGTTGTGAAAGCAACTCCATTATATCTTGGAAGCACTGCCCCTGGCTGTTTCCAAGGAGACGGTGTTGAGGTGAGGGTGGTGGGGAGGCGGTGACACCCACTTTCTACCATGTACCTTTCTCCACACTGTACGCACAAGGTGACGTGTGTAGGAGAGGACGAATTGTTGTTACCTTTATTGCTCTGGGGTGAAGCATCCTGGTCATCAAAGGTCCCCAAAGACAGGAGGCAGAAGGCTGCAATTCAAGGTGAACGTCTCTAGTTTATTTATTCATTCTTTAGAACTCTTAATGTGCCTAGAACCGTGCTTGGTGCAAAGTTTCAAGCCTTTGCTGAGAGCCTGCGGCACAAGCAAGAGTGGAGTCATGGCGGAGCTACTGGTAGGCGCCTCTGTGAGATGGATGGGATTTCCCTCCGCTTAGGTTGGTGGCAGCGATCATCTCACCTCCCTCAGCAAGTCCCCGCATGGGGCTCTGCCAGGGAGCCCGCCGTCCCCAGGGTCACTCATGAGCTGGCTAAGTGGCACCATGAGGACTCTCAACGAAGCAACCCTGCTTCCCTGACTCTTGTCCAGATGCTCAGACCAGGCCGAGGGTACCCCCTGCCCAGCCTCAGAAACACTGACTGTATTCGTGTCCACTTCTGGACATGGCCTTGGGAGGGAGAAGTAAGCCCTCCACAGGTGAATGAACAACCATATTAATGCGTGGTAGCCTTCATCTCCTTTATTCAAGTGTACTACAGACATCCCCCTCTCTCAAAACCAAAACGACAGTGACCCACCTCAGTAACACACATGCCTTTTCATCTGCTTATTCGAGAAGCTTCATATTCACCTCTTTGAGCCATCCTTTACCAAGAGGGAATGGTCAGCTCCCTGAGGTGCCCACCCATGTGACCCACCCCACACCGCTGATGCCACGCAGGGCCCAGACAAGTCTCCTTTGGGAGAAAATTCTAGGAAGGGTGTGAAGAATTCAGGGTCATCCAGCCAAACTCGCAAAAGTATACCGCATGGACAGTCGGTCGCTATAAAAATATACACATACAAAAGGACAGCTACAAAATCATGGTGCCCATTTTCTTAGATTTGCATTATAAAAAGTAAGGATTTCTTATTAAGGGTAAAATTTCCAGGGTGTCAGCGGCGGGGGTGGGGGTGGGGCGCAGCTTCATAATTATGATTCTGTCTCTAGTCTCCCTTCATCCTTCTTTTCATAGAGCACATTGAACCAGCCAGCGAGGAGGGGAAGGGGTTAATCCTAGTTATTCATGGGCTGAAGTGAGAAAATTGACGTTCAAGGTCTTACAGTCATTCTGCTGTAAGAGTGTGATGAGCCAGGAGAGGAGAGAGGTATTTTAACACTGCCCTTTGGGTCTCTCTCTCTCTTTTTTAAATGAACTATGAATCATAACACAGTCATTGAGCTACAGCAGACGGGCTCGGAAATTCGCCTTGATGTGTGCTCCCTGGCAGCCTCCACACACTCGGTGGACAGAGTCCCATGCTTCCTACGCAGAGTGTTCCGTTGGGTTCGGCCCACAGAGTGTCAGCAGGCAAGGCCACCTAGGGACTCCCGTCTCGGCTCCAGTTTCCCAGCAGGGTGAACTATCTCCTTGAGGACAAGACGCACTCCTGCTCCCCATGCCTCTGTGTCAGGCAGGGTCTCGGGGCCCCCGGGACTCTCAGGATAGAAGGCTCGGTCTTATGGGCAGGGCCGGCTGGTGTTACTTGGCTCCGCAAGTGTTGATGTTTTTCCCATCCACGGCGTCTTCCACCAGGGAAATGTGGTAATCGGTGGACAGTGTGAAATGAGAAATGCAGCCCACGAGGCCTCGCATGTACTGCCTGTTAGTGTGAAGAGCGATTTCCTTCATTCCACCTGCCAGGAAGCAAGAGGGAGATGACCTGAGCCAAAGTGGAGGACGTCTCTGTAGGATGCTTGAGTGGCTACTGACCAACACGTCCCTCGACTGACAGGACAGGGGAGGGTGCAGAACCTAGAACTTCAGACATCGCATCTAGTTTATAATTAACCTTGAAGGGACAAGCTGACTTGGATCAGTGAGATACACAATCAGAGCCATTAAGTATCTACCTCATACATGATTTTTTGACCTAACTGACCACTTAAAGCCACACAGTACCTGGTGAATTTTGAAAAAAAAAAAACAAAAGGTTGTATAATGTCAACAATATGTAGTATGTGATAAGAGATGATGCCATCTTAAACCAAAAGAAATACACTGATGTTGAATGCTTTCAATTAAGTTCACTTTTAGGAAATATATAGACAGAGGTGTCTTTTCATGTTTATGTGTCTGCATTAGTGGGTTCTAAGCTATTTATAAAAATACCACTCATTCTAATTCTGCGAGGGACCAGAAAGACAGATACTCCTTCCTCCAGAATTCCAGGAGCTATATTTAGCAGGTTCCTGTTCTATAAACAATAAAAGCAGGGTTTTCCTGGTGGATTGGTCCACAGCACAAAAGCATCTAAGTATTTCCTGACCCCTCAGCCATGAGTCAGAAGTTCAGAAAATTGAAGAATGGAATATCTGGAGAGTTTCCTGATTTCCAAGTATTTGACTGATCCAGTGAAATGCACAATTTTGGGAAGCCCCAGCATGACAAAGGGAAGACTAAGAAGAAAAGCCACTGGATAGTTGAGGTTCTGTTGAAGGTCAAGGTCACTTACCCACATACAGAGCTCCGTTGATGTTAAGCTGCCTCATCATGCCAGGTGACTTGCCTGTTCTGGCCCCATAGTCATCCACAGTTATCTTTCCTGATTGGCCATCCCTGTAAAAATCACCACCAGCTTTGGAAATTCATTTACTCATTCAATAGTGTACTCATGTTAACAGAAATGTATTCAAGTCCTTACTAAGCACCAGGCACTGTACTAAATGATGGAGCTGTCAAAATGAAACAAACCAACAAATCACCCAAATTCCTAAGGCAAAAAAAAAAAAAATTGCCAGTGATCACACAGTGTCACTACTCTACGGTAGAAGAACACCCATGTGCTGTGAAATCCTACAGGAGATGGAGAGAAGCTCAGGGGAAACTTCTCAACAAAGATTCTGTCTGAGATGCGTTTTGAAGGCTGGGTGAGTTGGGTGAAGGAGAGGGTAATGCAAACAGGAAGTGGCAACCGCAAAGAGAGAAAAGACATGGGGGTTTGGACAGTCTGAGCATACAGAATTCCAGAGGTGGCAACAGAATAGGAAAATGTGAAGCCAGAAGCAGATGCTGAGGGGCAAAAGGAGCTTAGAATTTATTGCCAATGTGGGAGGGAACCGGAGGACTTTAATGGGAGGAGTGGTGGTGACGTGGTGACACATCGTGAGTGTGGATGTTATTCTAAGCACAGTGAGAAACCAATGTGACAGTCCCCATTGGCAGATCACTCTTGGGGAGAACAAGGAATGGCTTAGAGGCTTCTAAAGTACCCATGTGGTGCGTGCATGCATGCTCAGGCGTGTCTGACTCTTTGCAACCCCATGGACTGTAGCCCACCAGGCTCCTCTGTCCATGGGATTCTCCAGGCAAGAATACTGGAGTGGGTAGCCATTTCCTCCTCCAGGGGATCTTCCCAACTCGCACCTCCTGCAGCTCCTACATTGGCAGACAGATTCTTTACCACCGCGCCACCTGGGAAGCCAAAGGACCCACAGTCACCCACCCAAAAGTGACTCTGAGGACGGTAGGATGGAGGTGCTCATCTGTGGCAAGGACTTAGCATTTTAAGGGGGTTTCCCAAAACCAGCCATCCCTCTTCTTCTTCTTCCTTCTCCTTCTTTTTCTCCTTCTAAAATGAGTTCTTTCTTGGTCTTTTACTGTTCCTTTTTTTTTTTTTAATAGCAATCACTTCCTTGTTTCTCAGGTTAATAGAAACAAGAAACTCTCTTACCTCTCTGATGATGTAAATATCATTTTTTTTTATTCATAGTTTGTTTCCTGCAAGTTGCTTTGTTCTATGTATCTGTTCTAATATCCATGTTTGATATTGGAGATTTTTTTCAAATGCTTAGTGATTCCCGATTGCCACTCCACAGTTCAGTGCTGAAGACTCAGAAGGAGACCGGAAGCCCTGTGGGAGCCCCATGTGCAGAATGGCTTCTGTGACTGTATTGTGATCTGGTGCAATCACTAGCGGACACCTGGATTTCCTACTCTACTGTGGGGTGCAGGCCTGGCTCTCAGGATTCTGGAATCTCAATGGGGAAAGATTTATAGGGCTCCTAATAGTCAACACAAGAACTTTCACATAGCTTCCAGTATTAATATAGACAGAGTAGACTAGTCCAATGTTTAGCTATACCTAATGTCTCCCATTTCAAAGACCCTTATTCACTTTCTCCAGAGAATGGACTTTCATTCTTCTTCCATGGGTAGGGGAAGGGCAGCATGCCAGTTATATGAAGTAGAAGGAGCTTGGGGTCTAACACCTTAAGTAAGATTTTTAAGCCAATCTGTTTTCAGCCCCTCATTTACCTTCTAAAATTTCTGGGCTCTACTCCTTTTTGGGGAGCAGTGGGGTATAATGATAGAAATCTGGTTGCCTAAACCTCATTTATTGATAACAAGTCTTCTAGCAACTAGCTTTAGAGATATTTCTAGCCTGTCCTATAATCACCCTTAAGACAACACAGCTTCCCCGTTTTGGATATGCTTTTTCAAAATCTCATACCAGAAGGATGTGATGGGCAAGGCCTTGCCTGCTCTGACTGCTTTTCCCCATTACTCTAGAAATTCCATTTTCCCCACTTTATTTCATCAGTTCTAAGAATTTTTCATTTTTAATATGTCCAAAATGAGGATATACTTTATAATCAATGGCATCTTAGATTTGAAAAATGTAAGAGAAAAATGAAGAACCTAGAAGCCACATCATCTGAAGGGTCTTGGAATTGAGCTGGAGGATGAGCAGTCTGAGGCTTCCCCAGTGGCTCCGCAGTAAAGAATCAGCCTGCAATGCAGGAGACCTGGTTCGATCCCTAGGTTGGGAAGATCCTCTGGAGAAGGGAATAGCTACCTACTCCAGTAAATATTCACTATGGGAAGATATATCTGTTTAACAAGTCAGAGCCAGGGCTTCATCAAAATCACTCTCTCAAGGACTTTCAAGGTCACCTGGACAGCTGATGGGCACAGGTCTGCCTCTGTACCCTGCCACATCCTTTGGAATCAAAGGCAAGCACAGTGGAAAGAAGAACGGGGTCCAGCAAGGCTACTTCCACCATAGCCTATACATGAACTGAATAGGAAACTTGACCATGGTGGCCCCATGTTTCCCAAGCTTCGCTCATGACCTTGCCTATTGATCTCCCCAGAAAGCACTATGGTATATTCTCAGGGAACCTGAGCCAAAGACTGTTCAGCTCATCTCCTGGGACCTGCATCAAGCATGGCAGGATTGACATTTCTTTATACAGCTGAATTAGGACCTGCTATTCAGTTTCTAAAGATATATTTTTAGGAATATATACATAGTAAAACTAATTTCAAAGGGATGATTCACCCTAAATTAATCAAAAGTGAGGGTAGTGAGTTCTGTGAGCAGGGGGAGGATGTGTAATTGGGGCAGGGTACACATGGCTTCTCAGGTTCAGGTAATGTCAAAAAACGGTGGGGGCAATTGCCTGCATAATGAGAATAGAAGCATTCCTCAAAGTCTACCTGCCCAGAAATCTTATCTCACTAGAGATATCTAGATCTCACTATATGACCAGGCTCTCTTCCAGTTTAGCCATCACAAAATTCCTTCTCCAGAAGGCCAGTGTTGAGTGAAGATGGGGAGTTCAGCCTTTCTGCAGTGTTAGTGACGGGCACAGGTGGGAGTTGGTACTGAGATGCCCTAGTGGGTGGGATCAGGGGTACTGGGATGCCAGGCCAGGTGGGAGAACAGGAAGCGGGACTACAGGGGCTTGGAGAGCACTCCCATCAGCTCTGTCTCACGCTGTGTCAGGTACTCACCGAACAGCCTTGACTCGATGCCACCGACCATCGTTGAACGAGCCGTTCACCATGATGGATGCCACACCGCTGCCCAGGTTATAGCTAAAGGCATCAGAGAAGAACAAGACAGAGAACAGAAAAAAGCCCTGAAGCACAGGCAGATGGTCGTTCATAAATGATTCTCAATGAGAAAGCTCTCTGGAGCTCAGAAGGTACTTTCTTTAACACGAGACAACGCTAAAAAGACACTAGGTTCCCAAAGTAGGCCATGAATGACCAAAACTGGCCAGGGATTGAATCTCTGCCCTCTGCATTGGGAGCATGGAGTCTTAACCACTGGACCTCTATCGAAGTCCAGTCTTAACCATTTTTAAGCATTCAGTTCAGTAGTATTAAGTATATTCACATTGCAGAGCAATCAATTCCAGAACTTTTTCATGTATTAAGTATATTCACATTGCAGAGTAATCAATTCCAGAACTTTTTCATCCTGTGAAATTGAAAATCTGTACCCATTAAACAACTTCCCATTTTCCCCTCCCCCAGAGTCCATGGCAACCATCATTTTACTTTCTCTTTCTGTGAATTTGACAATCCTAGATACCTCATATAAGTAGGGTCAAACAGTTTTCATGTCTTCGTAACTGGCTTTTTCCACTTACCATAATGCCCTCAAAGTTGATTTATTTTAGGCTCCATGTATAGTATTACTGTATAAGGAAAAAGAAAGACTTTATCATTTGTAATGTGTTGTACTAGCTTGAACAGTATCCCCCCCCCAAATTTAATGAACATCTAGAATCCAAGTGAAAAGTGAAAGTGTAAGTCGCTCAGTTGTGTCTGACTCTTTGCGACGCAATAGACTGTAACCTGCCAGGGTCCTATGTCCACGGGATTCTCCAGGTGAGAAGACTAGAATGGGTTGCCATGCCTTCCTCCAGGGGATCTTCCCAACCCAGGAACTGAACCTGGGTCCAGAAACTCAGAAAGTTACCTGATTTGGAAACAAGGTGTTTGCATATGTAATTAGTTAAGAGGGTTTATATGGGGGTTATATGGGGTTAGGGAGGAAGTCATATGTGGTTATTGTTGTTGTTTAGTCGCAAAGTCATGTTTGACTCTTTGCGACTCCATGAACTGCAACCTGCCAGGGTCCTATATCCATGGGATTCTCCAGGCAAGAATACTGGAGTGGCAAGAATACTCCAGGAGAATCTCCAGGAGAGCTTCCTGACCCAGGGATCAAACCCACATCTCCTGCATTTCAGGCGGATTCTTGTCCACTGAGCCACCTGGGAAGCCCCATTTGGGGTTAGTGAAGCCCTAAATCCTATATCACTAGTGTCCTTATAAAAAGAGGAAGTTTTGACCCAGAGACAGAGACACACAAAAACACCACGTGAAGACAGGGGCAGAGACTGGAATGACACAGCGATAAGACAAGGAGCGCCAAGGAGTGCCAGTGATCACCAGAACCTAGCAGAGAGTCAGAGAGCAGACTTCCTCAGCGCCCCAGAAGGAAGGGACCCTGCAACACCTCCGGGTCAGACTTCTCGCCTTTAGAACTGTGAGATAACACATGTCTATTGTCACCCAATTTGTGGTAATTTGCTATGGCAGTCTTCAGAAACTAACACACGTGTTTTCACTTTTCAGAAAAACTGAACAGAACAAAACATTGCAGAGTAGGCTAAGTCCCAAAGAATTTAAGGGAATTTGCCTAAAATCTCAAAACCAAAGTATAAGACTTGCACTTGGGGTCTTACCTGCGCCCCTCCCCCTGCCACATTTTCTTGGAGAGCAGATCCACTCCACAGTTTTCTGTTTTCTGTTTCAGTTGACAGATACCCTGATATGCTAAGGGGATCAGAAGACTTACATATGTTGTTTACCAGAGAGAAATATCCCTCTTAGTCCAGTGTTCATTCAATTATTCTAATTTAATTAAATACAACAAATATTTAGTGAGTGACTATTCTAGGCTGGGCACTGAGCCAGCTGCCTAGATCACCCCTTGATAATATAATTAAGCCCATGTAATCATGCTTCTGAAGGAAAATGCATTCCACCCAGACAACTCTCTCCTCATGTTGTAAAAGGACATGTCTCTCTTTTAGCTCACTGGCCAAGAAACAGGAAATTGAGAGGAAACCCGGATTAGTCACTGAGCTCTTCTATGCACTCAAGCCAACAAAAGAGCAAGAATAGAAAGCTTTGGCTTTCCCCAGGGAAAGCACTATGAGTCCTTTCTTTAATACCGGAGTCTCAAAGAAGCCACACAGCCTATCGACATTTAACCAAGAATAGAACTCGGTGACTTGACAAACTCTGAGACAAAGCTGTTGCTCTGACCCAGAAAACTCCACTGTTTTCTAATGAATTTTCCCACATCAAGCGTCTCCTTGTATGAAGCAGCCTGGAGGTGGAATTTTCAGATTTCATTATTTAGTGGCCAAATGCTTGTTGAAGAAATGAATGAGTATAAAGCAAGGCTGAGAGCTGGTTGGCAGAAATACAGCTGAATTACTATGTGGGCTTTTATGAGGCAGCACGGGGTGACAGAAAGAACCTAGACACTTGGATTAGAGGAATCTGCCTTGATTCCCAGGCTTACCAATTCCTAGCTCTGTGATCTTAGGCAATTTGCGCCATTTGTCTGAGCCTCAATTTTCTAATCTGTGAAATGGGTTAATAATACCTACCCTGAAGGATCTTAGGGGAGGTTCAGTAAGATAATATATATAAAGAGCATAGCACAAAGTAGGAGCCAAACAAATAACCCCATGCCTGTATGCATGCTAAGTCACTTCAGTCATGTCTGACTCTGTGTGACCCTGTGGACTATAGCCCACCAGGTTCCTCTGTCCGTGGGATTCTCCAGGCAAGAATACTGGAGTGGGTTGCCATGCCTTTCTCCAGGGGATCTTCCTGACCCAGGCCTTGAACCTGCATCTTTTATGCTTTCTGCATTGGCAGACAAGTTCTTTACCATTAGTGCCACATGGGAATGCATGCAGTGCTTAATGCAGCTCGGAGACAGCATTGACAGTACACCCAGAGGAACTAGCAATAGGAGAAAATTGCCACCCAGAGTTAAACCTGTCAAGCCTCTCCTGGAAGAGTAGCCATGTGTGAAAGCACACCAACAAGCTGTGAATATGTAACCAAAACTTCCAGGAACACCCAGGTCTCAGAACAAGGTGACTTAGGTAGAACTGCAGTAGCACTAGACTGGAATGGGATTGTAACCAGTGAATGGAAATTTTTTCAGTTGTGTTTGGACAAAGGACAGGCTTACTTCTGTTCTCCAGCCTGGCAACATGCCTATTCATCCAGATTGTACTCAAGAAGCAAACATGGAACCCAGCAGACCGGAATCCAGCCACCACTGCAGGTGGGGGAGAAGCCCAGTTGGCGCGTTGACGGCCTGACTCTCCAACCCCACCGACTCCCTCTCGTTTCTGGAATAACTTCCTGCTTGCCCAGACACCTGATACACATCCCCCTGGAATTCCTCTTTCTTTTAAATAATAATAAACGGCCGTGAACAGTGATTGCCTTTGTTGGGAGAGGGCATGAGGGAGCCTTCCTGGGTGTAGGAAATGTTCTATGTTTTGTTCTGAGTGGCGGTCACACAGGCATTTGTATGTTAAAAAATGTATTGAGCTGTACACCTAATATTTGTACACTTTATGTAAATTACAGCTTAATTTTTTTTTTAAATTGAAGTATAGTTGAATTAAAATGTTTTGTTAGTTTCTGTGCTGTGTTTAGTTGCTTAGTCATATCCAACTCTGTGACCCCATGGACTGTAGCTCGCCAGGCCCCTCTGTCCATGGGAATTCTCCAAGCAAGAATACTGGAGTGGGTTACCATGTCCTCCTCCATGGGATCTTCCCAACCCAGGAATCAAACCCAGGTCTCCCGCACTGCAGGTGGATTCTTTATGGTCTGAACCACCAGGGAAGCCCAAGAATACTGGAGTGGGTAGCCTGTTCCTTCTCCAGGGGATATTCCCAACCCAGGAATAGAACCAGGGTCCCTTGCATTGCAGGCAGATCCTTCACCAGCTAGTGTGCAGCAAACTGATTCAGATATACATATTGTATATATATGTCTGATTTCAGATTCTTTTCCATTATAGGTTATTACAAGATATTGAATATAGTTCCCTGTACCATAAAATAGGACTTTGTTGTTTATTAATTTTATATATAGTATGTCTCTGTTAATTCCAAACTCCAAATTTATCCCTCCTGCCCTCTTCCTTCGGTAACCGTAAGTTTCTTTTCTACTGTTTCTGTTTTGTAGCTAAATTCATTTGCCTCATTTTTTTTTAAGATTCCATATATGAATGACAGCATATGAAACTTGTCTTTCTCTTACTTCACTTAGTTAAATCTCAATTTTTTTAAAAAAAGGTAAAAATATGTGAGTTAATGAGTAAATGAACCAATAAATGCGGTTCTGCTTTCTCTACAATGTCCCATGTATCTGGTGAGCATGAATCCGTTAACTTGAAGCCAGTTTACCTACTCAACCTGGTGCACACGAAAGGCTAGGAGTCTGAGCACAAAGGTGGGCCACCAGGAAATGCCATCAGGTGAGGCCTCTTGGAAGCCACTTGACTGCCTCCACGTGGTGGCACTTAATACTTGGTCATGCCTCCTTTAACGCATAGCACAGGCTGCTTGGCTAATGTCAGACTGCTTCCCTTTCTCTGCTGCATGAAAATGTTATCAAAGTCACATGGAAAATTAGTGGGTAATTTCCCCAGTAAAGTGGTATTTACACACCTAGTTTTATGCCCTATACGTAATCATAAAACAGAATGAAGCAAAACAAACAACAAAAACCACACTCTCAGCTGAGCACTGATTCCCTTTCTTAAATTCAATTTGCACCAAAACCATAACTAATGTTTTTTTAGAATTCCATTGCTTTTCTTTATCCTCTGGCAGAAGCACTCTGAGCACTAAGTTAGGAAAAAGGACAAGCATTTCGGTGAAGAAGGTTGAGATTATACCATATTGTCTTAGATTTCCTGTTGTTTGCTTTGAAATTGGATCAAACACTAAATCCTCAAAAATGGTTCATCTACCCAATCAACAGATTTACTCTAGGCTCCATTGATGTAAGCTGCATGGCAGCAGGGCCTTATTCAAAATAACAATAACAATCATAATAGCTAAATTTTATATAGTCTACTGTGCCAGTTCCCTTACATATGTTCATGATATGAGTTTTTAGAACAGAGAAAACACTTGATCAGGGATAATCATTATCACTCACTAATAACTAGACACGCCAGGCCTTACACTAAGCCCTTTATGTGAATTAACTCATTGGGTCCTCATGATAACCCTTTCCTTTTACAGAGGTCGAATAACTTGCAGGTGATCACATGGCTAAGGGAATCGGGCATGTCTAACTCTGAAGCCCTGGTTTCTGACCACGCCAGACTCGGTTTCTCAGGGTGTGGCTCCTGGTATCTTCCAATCAGATTCTGGCACTCAGCAGGACCTCCTCCACCAGCATCTCTGGGTGTGGGCCCAGGAATCCAGTAACCTCCGATAGGAGCCCCGCAGCTGACTCTGTGTAGGCTGACAATCTCAAACCACTGGCCACTCTCTGATACCTCTCCACCCAGCCTCCCCCAGGTCTTCCGTACTTCTGAGCCGGGTGAATGATGTTGGGGGAATAGCTGCCCAGAGGAAGGAAATGCAGCGAAGCAGCCTCGCCAGGCTCCAGGCCCAAGGATGAGTGCAGATGTCTGCTCTGGGGTGTGGGGGCTGAGCGGGGGAGGGTGCCCTTTACTCAGAACTCAGCCAGAACTCCAGGCTTAAAAGAGAAACATGGGAACAATTTCCAGAAATCTGAAAAAGAGTTGGTAACCAACGAAACACATCGGGATGGAGTGGAGTTGTAAGAAGGGTGCCCAGAGGGCCTGGGGGTCTGGCCCAGGCAGGGTGTGAGAACCAGTGGGAGCTGCGGGGTGGCCGGGAGGAGACTGCTTCCCCGTCCAGCTGAGTTTTCGCTGGCGGTTTAGGGGGGAAGTTGGGCCTCCCACCCACGGCTGAGCTACTGTTTCAGTTCCCTTTTCTGGGCGCAATCAAGTACTTGAGGCCTTGGCGAGGTTAACCACAGGAAAACCACAAGAAAATGGCTTTGCAGCAGCCAGCCTGAAACTGGGGTGTTAAGAGCTCAGCATTTGACCTTGGGGCCGTGGGGAGGGGGTGGAGGTGGTGCGAACTGCTCTCAGGCAGCCTCCAGCTTTCAACCACACTCCGTTCCCCAAAGTCCTCAACAACCATAGGGTCACATCACTGAGCATGCTCGGCTGTAGGGGCAAGCATCGGACAAGCGACATTTCCTTTCAAAATGTCCTTTATTCAAATTGCCAAGACTTCTATTCTTGTACCCTGGCTGTCAGCAATCCCAGCACAGGACCCACTGAAGTCCCAGAACTCAGCCTTCTTCTTCTCTGTAGGTCCCCTATCTCGCCTTCACCTATTTCAACTCCAGTTGTGCAGGTCGCCAGGTGAGGGATTAAAGAAGGAAAAGTCAGAGAAATTCCTTCCCCCATGGAGCAGATGGTCTAGAGAGCGAGCAGGGGTTTCAAACCGTAGCAGGCGTCAGAATCACCAGGAGAAACAGTTAACAGATTGCTGGGTCCATCCCTAAAGTTTTTCTGGTTCAGTAGTTCATGGTTGTGGCCTGAAAATTTGTATATTTTTAACACGTTCCCAGATGATGCTGATGCTGCTGGTCTAGGGACCACACTTTGAGAAGCACAGTTCTAAACAAGATATTTCTACCCTCAAGTGAGGCTGTGTCATCACCATCTCTAGAGAAGCTCTTTCATATTATACAGCTGGCCCCTGCCCCTTGGGAATCTGGCTCCCACCCAGCTGCCACCCAGCTTCTGGTGATGAGATCTTGTTCTGGTAATTCTTTAGCTACTTTATAGCTTGTCGTTGTTGTTGTTTAGCTGCTAAGTCATGTCCGACTCTTCCGTGACCCCTTGGACTGTAGCCCACCAGGCTCCTCTGTCCATGGAATTTCCCAAGCAAGAATACAGGAGTGAGTTGCTATTGCCTTCTCCAGGGGATCTTTCCCACTGACAAATCTGAGAACAGTCTAAACTCATGTAGAACTTCTGGAACTGTCTTACCCGTTATCACCTGAGAAGCAGCTGATATAAAAATGCAAATGTTGGGTTGCTCTATTGAGATATGAGTCTGTGCTTTGTTCTTTGCAGTAGGAGATTGGAAAGCAGGCATTCTCCTTCCCAAGGCTCCACAGGGATTAGGGAGCTGAGTCAGAATATAAAGCCAGGTCTCTCAACTAAATCTTCAGATCTTCCTGAGCTGGTGAGCACTGGGCCAAATACTCATGTCCATGCTTGGCAGGATCAAAGTCCTCCTTCTACTACTTCCTCATTTGTAAGTGGGGAGTAGATGGTAATAACATACTAGTACAAGAGCCACAAAATTGTTCTCTAAAGGGCCAAATAATAAGTATTTTAGGCTTTGCCATACAGTTCCTATTGAAACTACTCAAGTGTATTACTGTCGCATGAAAGCAGTCATTGACAATGCATAAATAAATAAGGGTGGCAGTATTCCAATAAAATTTCATTTACAAAAATAGGTGGGTATGTGTGCTTTGTCATATCCAACTCTTTGCAACCCTATGGACTACATATAGCCCACCAGACTCCTCTGTCCATGGGATTCTCCAGGCAAGAATATTGGAGTGGGTTGCCATGCCCTCCTGTAGGGGTTTTTCCCAACCCAGGGATCAAACCCACAGCACCTGTGGCTCTTGCATTGACAGGTGGATTCTTTACCACTGAGTCACATAAATGGGTAGGGGGTCAGATATGGCCACCAGGCTGTAGTTGACCAACTGCTGATCTAGAGATGGATACTGGAAAGAAAGGCCAGGAGCCTCAAATTAACGTGGAACTTCAGGCAATAGTTAATTCTGGCTGACTATGTTCTGGCTCCTCTGCAACCTCTGTCTGGCATGGTCTGCACTGGCTGAGAAAAATGACAAGATGATGCTATCGGCAGCTGGGGTAAGGGTTACCTGAACACCAGGGCTCCATCCTGAAGGCCCAAGGAAATGAAGTCACTGTTGGGTCGCATGGGGCTGTCTCCTCTCCACAGCAATAGGCCATCTTTGGCAGTTGTCTTAAACCTCATGAACGCGTTTGATCTTGAGCCTGACACTCTGGAGGAAAGATACAAACCATTACACCAAATCAACCAGTCTCCACCAACATTCAATTCTGAGTAATCCTGGTTTTGTCTGCCAGTTATAAAGATGGTCTAATGTTTCTGACACTATCAGGAGATTAGAAAAGGGATCACCACCACGAGCGATGCCATGGGTCTAAAAGTCTGAACTCCTCATTCTACAACATGGAGTCTCTCTCTGTCCCCAAGTTGGTAAAACACCACAGAGCGCATTTGATGAGTGACAGGACAGATAATCCAGACCCTGGCCAATGCCACAGTCCCAGCCTGTACCCCCAATACACACTTCAGTCTTCCCTCTTTCCTGTCCTATCACTCACAAGCTGTTGGGAAAGTGCCCCCCGTTCCTCAAAAGGAAGTGGTTTACTTAATTACCAAGAGATTCGAATGCTCAGGGCTATGATTGTGGCTGTGGATGGCCATCTGTGGAGGTGATGTCCTTGAAGGCAGAGGAAGAGTGACTGGACAGGGGGCTGAGTGTCAGACAAGGAAGGTGCCTCGAAGGGCTAACGGTCTTGAGAGGTGTTGGGGGAGAGGCAGGGCGGAGTCCAACAGGAAACTGAGAGGAAGGAAGGGGTGCTCAGGAAGGTCAGGCCCCAGTCCTACAGCCATGGCTGGGAATAAGATCACTGCTTATCGGTTCCTATCAATGTTGGGATATTCTCATTGATGCTTGGGCATAGACTAGTTCAGAGATCCAGTTTCACTAGGAAGTGGCCAGTGTTTCATCCGATGAAGGGAGAAAAGCAACCATGAGGTCCTTAAATAAAAGGTGAAATAAGAACAAATACAATTTAATATTGTTCTTCATAGTGGAAGATGGCACTACTGGAAAGGTCCTGACCATTTTCCTGTCACGTGTCCCTCTGTCCAATGAACGTGGCCTGCAGCTGTAGAGTGCATTCAGCAGTGACCAGTGGAGGAGACTTTTGTCTAAGGCCTCCCAGAGGCTGGGATAGACAGGAGGTCAAGTTTGCTCTCCCCAGACATGGTCTCCGAGTGGTGAGTGAGGAGCAGGGTCCGTGACACTGATGACTTCTCCACTGGACCAGGTGCAGAGCAATCCAGCTCTGGGCTATTCCCTAGAGATCTGCTTTTCCCAGTCTTGTGTTGAAGGTTCCTTCCTTCCCTCAACTGCCTTGGATACATGGATTGGTACATGGTCAATCACATGGTTCCATTTCTTTTGCAATGATTGGTTTAGGGGTAGGCCTGTGACCCACTGTTGTCCAATGAGATAGAGGAAATTCATCAGGAGGATTCTAGGAGAATCTCTTCCTTTCAAAGAGAGTCACATAAAAAAAGGGGGGGGGGCTTTTTTTGTTGCACTGGATATTGCCCTGATTTATAACTATTTAATAAGCATCTTAGGAAAAGCTGTCTTATCACCATAAAGGGTATGATTGTTGGAAAATATGCTGAGGATAACAAGGCAGGAAAATGAATCATTGCTAATACAATTGATTCTCTGAATTAATCAACCCAGGATCCGACTAAGTCTAGACAGTTTGTTATATGAAATGTTTACCGTTCATATTTAAGACATTTAGAGCTGAGTTTTCTGTTGTGTGTGTGTATGTGCACTCAGTCACTTGAGTCATGTCTGACTCTTGTGACCCTGCAAACTGTATAGCCAACCAGGCTCCTCTGTCCAGGGAATTCTTCAGGCAAGAATACTGGAGTGGGTTGCCATGCCCTTCTCCAGGGGATCTTCCAGACCCAGGGATCAAATTTGGGTCTCTTATGACTCTGTATTGGCAGGTAGCTTCTTTACCACTTGTGCTACCTGGGAAGCCTGAGTTTTCTGTTACTTGCAGCCAAAGGCATCTAACAGAAACAGATTCTGAACCTGACTTCTATCTGCAGCTTTACACACCTGCATACATAGATGCAATCTATATATATACACACACACAGGTGTTATTGAGTTTTCTGCTTTGGGGCTTTGAACCTCCTACTTACACCAAACCCTTCCACTCCCCCAAACTACCTGGTGCCTCTCACTAAGCACCACCCTCCTAGTTTATGGGGACTGAACACCCTTCCATCTCTTGGGTGTAAGGACTTGAAGAAGGAAGAGGGTTTCTTGGCTGGGACTCCATTTTGCCTAAGGCCCACACAAGACAACTTCAATAAACACAACATGGGATTAGAGAAACAAAGCTGGGTCTGTCTGGTGTATGTTCAGAAACACCAGGGACATCCAATGCCCCAGGAAAATGTCTCTTAACCCGCTTTGTTCCAAAAACCACCAAATTCCACCCTAAGAACTGTGTGCGCTTGTCTTAAAGAGTTGCCTTAGTCTGTGATGAGGCAATAAACCTGAGACAATGGAAAATATCCAGAATGATTGTGCTGGCAGTGAGGCAGAGAGTGGTGCTCTCTAAACTACAAAGAGTGGAGGGGAAGGAAAAGAAAGAGAAAAGGGAGAACTGAAAGCACCAAAGCCGAGCTTCACTAGATTCACCAGAGCCAGTCTTCCCATGGGAAAGAGCCTAATTAGGCTCTTCCAAACCAGGAGCTTTACAAGAACTGTGGTGTTGGAAAAGACTCTTGAGAGTCCCTTGGACCTCAAGGAGATCCAACCAGTCCATCCTAAAGGAAATCAGTCCTGAATATTCATTGGAAGGACTGATGCTGAAGCTGAAACTCCAATACTTTGGTCACCTGATGTGAAGAACTGACTCATGTGAAAAGACCCTGATGCTGGAAAAGACTGAAGGCGAGAGGAAAGGGGGACAGCAGAGAATGAGATGGTTGGATGGCATCACTGACTCAATGGACATGAGTCTGAGTAACCTCCGGGACTTGGTGATGGACAGGGAGGCTTGGAGTGCTGCAGTCCATGGGGTCACAAAGAGTCGGGCACGACTGAGCAACTAAACTGAACTGAGCTGAAACCAGGAGCTTGGACTCTGGAGCAGGGCTGGACTTTCGGTCACCAGCAATTAAAAGTCCCAGCTGTGACGTGGGCACCTCTTTGGTCATGCTCTTGTAGTCACCTGAAGATAGCCGAGAAGCCCCCTACCACCAAACTGGAAAGAGCCTGAAGAGGACAGTGGACCTCACTGATGATGATTCAAAGCAGGACACGGACTTGGAGCTCTTTGCTTGGTTGGAGCCATGCCAGAACCCTTCCACGGCTGGCTCTAGGCAGACCATGGCCACAGAACAGCATGAAGTTGACTGCCCTGCCGGGGAATCACACGCATGTAACCCGGCTTCAGGAGCATTGAGTTCTCACTGTTCCTCAAAGCCTGAGTATCTAAAATCCCAGGGCTGACCATTGTCCCTCTCTCCAGGCCCTTTGACCAGAAAGGCTCTGGGCTATTGGTCATGAGGTTGATTCAAAGGCTACATTTGTGCGTGTGTTTTTTTTTGTATGTGTTGTTTTGTTCTAGTTTCTATGTTTATTTTGTATGTTTTCTTCCCCTGGGACTACAGCTAAATTCTCGTGCCTTCTTGGAGAATTATCTTCTGGCATGGACGATAAGGAAAAGCTCTGGGAAAGATAACGAGAAACTGACCTCCCAGGAGATAAGGAAGGTGCTCGAGGGGTCTTCTTACCTCTTGAGGATATCTGGATTGTCATATGTCAGGTAACTGCGGCCGATAAACTGCGGGATCTCAATAGCTTCTGTGATCGCTGAGACAGAACAGAAAACAGAGGTTACATGCTATGTGGCTCTCTTGACCCCAGCACTCCACCAGGCGGCAGGAAAAGACAAAGAAAGCCAGCTCCTGGAAATAGGACATTTATCAACTTGGCAGCCCCTTCCTCTTGGCTGCACAGGCACTTGGCCTGGTTTAGGATGACCTGGCCCGACTGCCTGGAGTTGGCGTCTCCCTGGTGGACCCTCCCTGGGGCTGGCCGTCACTGTTATCTGCCTCAGCCCTACCTAGAAGGGCCTGCAATATACTGAACCTTGAATCATGCCCAGTTATTCCTGGAAGCCAAAGGTCAGGCCCTGGGCCACGTGAGGAGCAGCTGGGGATAGCCCTAGAAGTTCTCCAAGGGAGGCAAACAGTCCCCCAACAAAATCCACCAGGTTTTCTCTATTTGAAACCAACCTGGTCCAGAATCCATTTGGTCACAACCTCAGATACTGGTGAGTAATGGGTAAGGCTTTGACTGTTTTTTGTGAAGCACCTTCTGGTGTCCTATTTCACAAAATTTTTACCACAGTCACACAAAGGAGCAGGAAGTATTGGGGAAGGGGAGGCTTGGATGTTCCCATTCTATAGAAAAAGAAAATGAGGCACAAAATCATCAAGAATTTGCCCAAGATTATACAGCTAAGAGAGAAACAGACTATGAACCAAACTCTGGCCCTCAGCCTACTTTCCAATATTTGAGAAGTGCTTCCTTCTCATCACTTTGTTTTCTTGAGGAATCACCCTCTTCCACACAGTGAGTAAGGGAATAAGCTAAGTAGTCGCGTTTAGTGTCATGAATTAGGGATAAGTTAGAGGATTTCCTCTAAAGAGATCACAGTAATATCACTGTCCTCTTTAGAAAGACAGAGAAATGGCAGTTTAGAAAAGTTAAGGTAAAATGAATCTCACGTTCAAAGAAATGTGCAAAATGAGAGAAAATAAGCCAGCTTATAAAATACGACATAGTTTCACAAGATATGTGGTTGGTACAAAGAAGACATTGAACTAAGGACTCTACATCCAGGAGAGAAAAAATGTGTAATTATCGACACTACAAATGATAGGGGAGTTTAAACTCAACTTCTACACATTAAAAAGAAGGAAGGAAGGAAAGAAAGAAAGAAAAGAAGGAAGAAAGAAAAAGAAATAACAGTAAAACACAAAACCCAATGACATTGCGTGTGTGTGTTCAGTCGTGTCTGGACTCAGAGAGCCCATGGATTGTAGTTCACCAGGCTCCTCTGGCCATGGGACTTTCCAGGCAAGAATACTGGAGTGGGTTGCCATTTCCTCCTCCAGGTATCTTCCCCACTCAGGGATCGAACTCGCCTCTCTGGTGTCTCCTGCATTGGCAGGTGGATTCTTTACCACTGAGTCACCTGGGAAGCCCATAATGACATCGGGCCCCCAAATAAAAGTTCCTGTGTTGGCAGGTCACCCACAGCAGGCTCCTGTATTCTTCATAAAAAGAAAGGAAAAAAAAAAAGGAAGGAAGAAAGAGAGAAGTTGGGGGTGGGAGAGAGTAAAAGAAAGAAAGTAAAGAAGGAGAGGAAGAGAAGCAAACATTTTAAAGACAATTTTTTGAGGTAACTATCCAAAAAATTACTTTCTTGTCCTCTGAGGCAGCACAGCCCAGGACAAGGGGCTGTCGACCCAGAGGGCATTTTAGAGTCAGAAGTGAATGGCTCTTTAATCTTCAATTCTGAGCTGCACCACCCTCTGGTTTAAGTGAGGAGGAGGAGGAAGGAAGAAAAGGAAGCTGAGAGAAGAAAAAAGGTGCAAAATGCCACAAGTAGAAAGTTGGTGGGAAGAGAGGAGAAGGGGAAAGTAGACATTAGAGGAGGAGAAAAGAAAATGTCAGAGAAGCAAAGGAGGAGAAGGTGTGGAAAAACAACAACAACAAAAATGAAGAGCCAAGTGGATGGCAGCCCCAGGCCGGGGATGCAGAGGGGATGAAAAAGGTGTGGCTGGGGAGAAGTCCAGGAGAAACAAAAATATAGCAAGGAGAGGGTGAGAATGGGGTATAAGGAGTAAGAGTGGGGAAATGCAAGAGGATGGGGGGCTCGTAGCTGGGCAGGCAGGCCCTGAATTGCCAGCTGCTGATGCCAGACAGGAGGAGAAGCCATCCCTCCCAGTCACTCTGGAGTCCCTGCTGGGTTTGGCTCAGCCCCAAGCAGGGCCCGTCCCTGCTGTTACTGGCCATGGACATGGGTCTGTGGCCAATGGTCATCATTCCCCCGCACTCCTGGAAATGATCAGGACGTGCTCTGCACCTGGACTCTCAAAGGGGTGTGTGTGAGCCCCGTTCAGCTGCTGACTAAGCCCCCCTAGCCCAGGGCTTCCCAAGATCCAGCCAGGAGACAAGTGTGTTCCCAGGGCTGGCGATTTCGGTGGGAGGCTGCAACCCCTCTGAGAGGTGTGTCCCCCGTTTCCCTCTGCAGGTGGTTGGCCTGCACTGTGCCCGCAGCCTGGCCAGAGCCTGCCCTGGCACCAGCCCAGGGGCCGTCCCAGCTTCTTGGAGGACTCACTGTACTTACTGTTGAGGCAGTAGTTCCCACACTCTGCCAGATGTCAGCATGAAACAGAACAGGGCAAGTCAGAATCTCACAGTCACTGTAAAATCCCAATTACTGTGGTTGCAGATCGCTGGAAAGCGGCCTTGCACAGCCCCTGGGAAGCCCTGCAGGAACTCACGTTCCTCTGAGGGAACGTGAATCCACTCGTTCCCCTCGTGAGAAACTGCTGGGAATCGTTTCTCTCAGCATGGTTAGCACCAAATCACCCAACACATCTCCGCAGTTCTCGACTTAGTAACTGGGGTGCAGGTGGTGGTGGACCAGGATCATGTGTCTAATAAATTGTCTAACGCCTCTGAGGCTCCCCTGACCTTGAACTGACAATGCCCAGTTAATCTAAACCTGGAGAAACACTTGCTGGCTAGAGAGTTACTTACCTTGTCAATGACCACGACCTTTTCTTGGCTCCAAGCTACACGTGAAAAAGGAATGATAAGCCAGCCAGCTGCCGCTTTTCTCTCCACAGTGGAAAATATCACCCTAATTCCCACCCCACCTCCTTTTCAAGGTTCAGATCTCGTGATTAATAAAGAGCAGGGGAACACTCTAGAAATGACACCACTGAACACAAACACAGTGAAAATATACTCGGTGTCATCAGTATACGTGGATAAATATTAATTCCATCCTAAAACATTACAGTTAGAAGTAACCATCTACTTCTGTCTAGCCTTTTGCAGTTTGTTTAAATATTGTAAGCACAAGTATATTTTATCCTAACCCTTTATATCTAATTTCTTCTACAGTGTCTTTTTTTTTTTCCCCCTGTGGCAAAGGCACTACTCAAAAACTGTGTTTGGTGCTTCCTCACATTTAGACCTAAAAGCTCGAGACATCTAGTGACAGAGCGAATAGGCAGCCTGCAAGCCAGGCAAAGCAAATTTTCCACTTCAGGGACTTGAAATTCCCAATGGACTATGAAGAGTGGAAGAAAACTTGCTGGCTCCTTCACGCAGTCCCAGGACCAGCGAAGGAAGGACCTGGGGTTGTAACCTAGCTTTTACAGCAGACTGGACTCCTCCCCACACCCTCCTGAGCGATGGCAGCCCAGTCCCAGGGAGCAATTTCCAGGGTGGGAGCTCTCCCGGCCACAGGCAGGACTCTCCCTTGCTGGACAGCTCTGCTTGGAGCAGCCATCTTGGTCCCATGAAGCTGACTCTGCAGCCACAAAGTAATAGCTAAAAAATCATTTTCTACACTACCAGCCTTCAACTATCTAAAAATCAACATCCAGGCTGAATGCCTCCAAATTTTCCATTGGTTAAGGATACACCATCCCAAAAAAAGAAAGTCCCTATAGATAGTATGCACAATTTATATGTTTTATGAATTTGTGTTTTTTCATACTGAGTATTCTTAAATTACAGCTCATATTTAATGAAGCTACTTTTTTTTTTTTTTAATGCTCTGGGACTTCCCCTATCCCCCAGTCAGACTCAGCAATTTGATATGAATTTACTAAATACAGTGTCAAGTGTCTAGAATGTGGTCAATCATTACGAATCAGGCAGGTTCCCATCTTTGAGGACTGCGCGTCCCTGACAAATGTGTGACCTAAGCCACTGCGTGGCTTTTGGTGTTGGTAGAGTGGAACTTCAGCTGCTGCAGAGAAACACTCCCATCTAGTGGCCTGCAGGGTCCTGCACTGTCTGAGTCAGAACTCAGCAATCTGGGAAGGGAAGGAAAGGGGGTACCATCAGAGCTCAGTTCTTTCCCAAGTGGCCTGTCTGCCATGGGCTGGGGGAAACCCTGGAGGAAACAGCTGCATCCTACACCCTTGTCTTGGACACTCAGAACATATCAAAGGCTCTGAGAAATCCCGCAGAAGAAGCTGTGGTTTACCCAGGATTACTCAGTCTTATTTGAGGCTCAGATGGTAAAGAATCTGCGTACCGTGCAGGAGACCTGGGTTTGATCCCCAGATTGGGAAGATCCCCTGAAGAAGGGAGTGGCAACCCACTCCAGTATTCTGGCCTGGAGAATTCCATGGACAGAGGAGCCTGGCAGGCTACGGTCCATGGAGTCCCAAAGAGTCGGACACGACTGAGCGACTGACTTTATTAGACCACAGAATCCCCTTCCCATTTTGTGCATGTGAATGTTATGTTGTCTGTCTCTCTGTGCGAGCACAAAACAGCCATCAGTATTCCTTAGAACTTAAATTTTCACCTGTACTTTGTGAAACTCTGCTTTCTCTTGTCAGTAACTTGGATACAAGAGCTCTGACGGCCTGGGACACAAAATGGGCAAATTTGGATGAGAGTAGAGAGAAAGAAGAAAGAAGTCTCTAAGGATGGGGAGTATCTGCTTTCTGACACCCCTCTGGTGAGATGAGAAAGGGGATTCAGTACTGGGCTGCAGCATGGGGAGCTGAGGTTTGTGGCAGAAGAAGACACATGAGAGGGACAGCCCCAGATGGAAGGTGAGGGGACCACCGCCCCTTATGGTTTCTGCTGGTACCTGAAGTTGTGGCTGGGACCTTGAAGGCCTTCTGGCTTCTCCAGCCCCAGCTGGGGACACAGAGGCTCACTTTCCTGCAGCTCCGTGGGAGCCCAGTGCTCACCTCCATCTGGGCTCAGACTCTGCTCCAGCCTCTGATGTCGCAGAGACAAAGGGTGGGGTGGGGCTCCCAAGACCCTCCTAATGGTCTGATGGTCTGAGAGCCCAGAATCGCCCCAGCCCCAGCCCTCCCGTACTACCAAGAGCTGAGAACAAGTGTCTAGTCTCCCACCTAGGGCCCCAGTGGAACTCCTCACTGAGGAGGGTAGAGAGAACCAGACTCACTGAACATCCCCAGAACTAACTTCCTGCTGGAGAAGGTGCCCCTTGGTATAGGCTGAGTGAGGCCTGGCATTGGGGGGCTTCTCCAACATGCTGCACACTATAAAAGGATGGTTTAACATCTGTGGGGGACACGAGGGAACAAGTTTGTGCTTTTGAAGCATGATCTGTTCATCATGGAGGGGAAAACCTTTAAATATATAAGGGTAAGAAGCACCTTATTGGATCAGGTGGGATTCTCTTTGATAACCAAGGATGGCTCTTAACCAGTCTTTGTCTTTCCCACCAAGAATGTATCCCAACTTTCAGACTGTTCTTTTGCATCCTCGTGGAACATTATAGTTACCCAGCTCTCTTTCCTTTCTTTCTGACACTGTTCCAGGACTAGAAGCTCACTGAACAATCACATCAGTCTGTATGGTAACTGTGCACCTCTATGTGCCCGCTGGGGCCTGAAAACTTGTCCTTAACAGCCCTAACCTGTACCCGCAGTCCCGTTAATCCTCCCAAGCCATACAGCAAGAGAAGAAATTACATGATACAGGCCATGCCTCCTATATATGAATCTGTCTAGGACTGGCAACAATTGCCCTTTTGCCAGAAATACCCTATTTCAAAGCACGAGGAAATGCTGATACAATGTGAAAGCAGCTGATGCTTTGAGTTTTAGTCTTGGCTGTAGCCTAGGATGTTGCAGAAAAAAGGGGTCTAAATGCTGCCTAGACCACTGCCACATGGTCACTGCCCAATCTCCTGGATCTTGCCAGAAGGCCCAGGCCCTCATCAGCGATCTGACTTTCACTTTGGGGAGGTATATTTCTCATTGAACCTGAACCTATAGTTGCAAAGCTCTTTACATCTATATGGTTAATGTTCTGTAACAGGAAACAAGGGTTACCAAGATGCCAATTATCTTTTCCTTTCTATTTAATTCCAGAAGCTAAATGTTCATTTAATCCTGGACTTTATATATTGACCCTTAGTGTTAGCATCTAAGGCAGAAGCAAGCTTGCATTTGCCTGTGGTAAAACTGGACACTTAAGAGATTCAAACGCTGATGTGTGAAATCTAGATCCAATTTTCTGAATGAATGGGCCACTCTTGAGCTAAATCTCTCCAAGTACCTGCTGTTAGCTGAACAGTGATTTCCTTGTTAGCTTTGTAATCAGCATCATTCACAAATGGCTCAGCTCCTCTTCTTTAGCGGTTCATCACTGGAGTGAGCTACATTTGTAAACTTATTTCATATGATTTGCCATGAGGGTTTCAAAATTCATTTCAATATAATACTACTTAATCTTCAAACTAGTTCATTGGCATCTTTCGTATTTTCCAAGACTGCTGCAAAACAACTTCTCCTAGCACTCCATATACTGAAATATCTACCTGTAGTCTACAGTTTTCCTCTAAGTCCTACTTCTGATAAAAATCAAGAAACTGGGGAAAAAAAAATAGGAAAGAGAGAGCAGTACTTCACTTAGGATTGCTGCCTTCTTGCCTTCAGGCCTGTATACCTTTTTTTTACTAGTTCCTGGACAGGTGAGGCCTTGCTGACATGCTAAAAAGAAGGTCCATATGGCTCACCATGATGCAGCTGCACGATGTGGGCCTCTTCTAGACCCTACCCTGGCCTCTACCTCCCTTGCGCAGTCGTGGAAAACAGTCCCGCAGGACCTGCAATCTGGGATCTGCTCTGCTTTCAGACAAGGGCAAGTTGGACGTTAAGTGCTCACAGCACCTGCCGGTGGATTTTGTTTTTCTCACCAAGAATAATAATGGTTTGTTGTTGTTGTTCAGGTGCTCAGTCGTGTCCACTCTTTGTGAGGTTGACCACAACCCCCCCGCCCCGCCCAGCACGCCAGGCTTCCCTGTCCTTCACCATCTCCCAGCTTGCTCAAACTCATGTCCACTGAGTTGGTGATGCCATCCAACCATCTCACCCTCTGTCACCCCCTTCTCTTCCTGCCCTCAATCTTCCCCAGCATCAGGGTCTTTTCCAGTGAGTTGGCTCTTCGAATCAGGTGGCCTAAGTACTGGAGCTTCAGCTTTAGCATCAGATAATGGATAATGGGTGGTATTGTTATTTACTAGGTATTCTTCTGAGAAATATGAGTACTGCCTCATTCCTCTTCAAAGGAATACACATTGCCTTATGTAATCTACACTACCATTCTCTGAGTTAAACAATATCACTGTATTATTCTCATTTTACAGATGAAGAAACTGAGGTACAGAGGAAACATATACAGCATGGAAAACAGCAGTCTGCAGAAGATTATTCATAGCTTGTAGCAACTAATGTGCAATTCATATTGTGCCCTATTTGGCAAGGTTTCTCTCTGTAGCATTCACAGGTAGGAGTCAAAAATATTTAGTCAAAATATTTATCAGTCTATAAAGCCCAGGCATTCACTGGTCAGGATAGGCTCTGGGAGAGGCTAAGATCAGGGATCCTGGAAACCACCCTCCTTCAATATTATGAATTAACCTTTTGATTCTAGACCATGGGGCAATTCTCAGAGAAGGAGCTATAGTAGGTGTGATGGGGAACTATTTACTGTTTACAGAGGTGTTTCAGCATTTTAATTCTTATTAAATAGTTAAAGTAGTTTATGTATATATATATATAATTAATCATCTGGGTTTCCCTTGTGGCTCAGCTGGTAAAGAATCACCTAATATGCTGTTGACATCATTGATAAAAATAAACAGTATGGATGTCTCAGGGTAATCAACTGGTCCTTTAAGAGTGGCAGTGTCCCAAACAGTCTGTCCATTCCCTCTGCTCCAGGAAGCAGTTCCCCAACACGTGTGCGTGCACACACACACACACACACACACACACACACACACAGAGTGTACCTTTCTGGCAGTGCAGCCCCTCGAAGCCCAAGGGGCAGTCACACTCATAGCCCTCCTTCCTGGGTCGGCAGCTGCCCCCATGGGCACAGGGGGACCCCACGCAGGGGTGGGCTGCATTCTCCACGTTCACACCCCACGTGAAGTCATGCTTCACATGGATGGTCCGGTCATTCAGGATGATCTTAGGAAAGAAAACATAAAGAAATTCAGGGATTCAAAAATCACCTTTGGAATCTTCTACAGCTTCCCTCAGCACACCAACATGAACTATGCCTGGGAGGGGTGGGGTAGGGCTTTAAAAATAAAGAGAGAAAGTCTGGTTACTGCTTTCAGAGTTCTGTGAGTGACGCAGGAATGAAAGTGACTACATTTGGTGCTTGGGAGAATCTGCATCATGTACAAGACTAAACAAGCAGCTTCCTCTGGTTCTGGAAAACCTGGCCACTCAGAGCAGTCATAAAGAAGAACCAATTACTACAAAATTCAGTTTTTAATGCTGTATATTGGAATCATGGGAGGTGAGGCGGTTAAGAAATATACTCATAACCAAGCCCCACGCAGATCAACTGAACCAGGATTTCTGTGGGTGAAACTGAGTCACTGGTAAGTTTAAAGAAACATTCCAAGCAATTCTAAGATGCAGCCAAGGCTGAGACATGCAGTTAAAAAGCAGAGTAAGGAAGAACACAACACAAAATGTTACAGAGGCAGGAATCCCAGGTGGGGCGGGGGGCGGTGATCGAGTCTGGAGGTGGTGGAAATGTACTACTGTGTCTTCCTGGCTGTTTTTCTCTGCAGCCTCCACCAGCTCCATCAACAGTCTCCCCAGCTGCCCCCCTCCCTCCTGCTTCCTCCTTCCCCAGCACTCCGGAATCCCCACCTCTCCACATCCTCTTCCCCGGAGTGAAACTCAGGTCACATTCTTAGCGGTGCTGTGCATATTCATCAGGACAAACAGCTCTTTGCTCTCACCCCTTTTCCCTGCAATGGGGCTTCAGTGAAACTGATAATATTAGAGTGAGGTCACTGGGCTCCCTGACTCCAAATAAACGAAGTGTGCACTGGCCCTGAGCTGTGGGTGTTTCAGGGTTCTTCAGGCTTTGCAGAACTCAGAGACAGACAGAGCTTCTCCTAGGGTAACCTCCAGTGTGCAGGGGATCCCAAGTGGTTAGCAATGGTATACTTCCGGCCACTAATACATGTTTCCACAGGTTTGTCCAGTTTTGGAGAGTGGGGAGAGTTGGGAGAAAACTTTCCTCCAGGCATGCCACTCAGAATCTACCAGAGAAGAGCCAGAGTCTCTCCACACTTTCCCCCTTGCTGTAAAACCGAGTCATGAGAACTTGAATAAGGCAAGTGCCATGAGTGGGTCGGGGCTTCCCTGGTGGCTCAGATGGTAAAGAATCTGCCTGCAAGGTGGGAGACCTGGGTTTGATCCCTGCGTTGAAAGATCCCCTGAAGAAGGGAATGGCTACCCACTCCACTATTCTTGCCTAGAGAACTCCATGGACAGAGGAGCCTGGCAGGCTACAGTCCAGGTCACACAGAGTCCGGACGCAACTGAGCCACTGACACTTTCACTTTCACTTACTGACGGGGTCGCTGGGAGGGGCGGGGGCTTTTCCAGGAAGTAAGGAGGAAAGGCTTGTTTGTGCTGTGTGAAGAGAGCACAGCCTGACACGTTCAGAAGGAAGAGGAAGGCTCTCAGCAGCTCAGCTTACTTCCTAAGTTAGAATTTCAAACCCATGACTTCACACGGCCAGTCCCGCTCGCGGGGGGGGCAAGGGTCTGAACTGAGGGGTCACTGGCGTCACACTTCAGCGGCAAAAGGAAGCAGAGCAGGGTGAGGAAATATTGACTGGGCCCCTTTTCTGGGCCCCACACTGGGATGCAGAGGAGGACAGTGTCCTTGGGGCCCTTCTCAGAGCCCAGCTGTGCAAATCCTGAGAGGACCTCCTCTCACTGCCCCTCCACCATCTTAGCCCCTCCTGTACTTTGCCTCAGACCCCCCTCAGGGATGGGTGGCTCCCATTCCTTCACTGGTTGCCAAGAGAAACGGGACTTGGCTGATATCCAGGAACCGGATGTGTTTTTCTTCAAATCTTTTTTTCCCCATGTTTAGTGGTCCTGGACCTCTGGGTTGGTGGGTCAACTTAGAAGTCTGTTGTAGACAGAACATAATCTCTTGACCAGAGAGATCACGGGCAGCCTCGAGAGAAGGAACATGAGACAGATTTGAATGGGGTCAGCATCCTGTCTCTTACTAGCTGAGTGGATTTTTCTCCCGAACCTTCTATGGAAGGACTCTAATCTGTGCTCTTAAGAGTGGGGTTGCATGACTGATGAACAACCATTAAAACATGGTGGTAGGGATGGAAGTGGAGGCAGCAAAAACAACTGGGTCTTGCCTTGAGCAAAAAGCCAAGTTGACCCCAAAGAGAAGCAAGAGTCACTATGAGACTCCATCCATTCCTTCCCTTTTTTAGAAGTGTCTGCAGTGATCTGGTGCCAGTTGCCCCCTCAACAATACTAGGATATTCTAGTAGATTTATTATAAAAATTCATCGTCACTGAGTTGCATTCATGAGATGTCCGCTGGGCACAGCTGGGGCAGACACTATAAGAAAGCGGGGTTGGAAAGGTATGCTCTGAGAATTAAAAAATATAATTTTAAAAATGTTAAACTTCCTCAAGCTTTCTTTCTTGGGTATAGCAGTTTGCACTGATCACAGTTCTCAATTCCATTGTCTGTAGTCAAAGTCACACCATGCACGTGAGGAAGGGTAGCCTGTACCTTCTGGATGCTCCCACTGAATGGCTTGAGGATGCCAGAGTTCTTCTTCACATCATCATAATTGGGGACCCCACCGATGAAAATGTCCGAGTTGCACTTAATCTGGGTGAAGCCTCCCTGCCAACAGATTAAGAACAAAACACAGTATAACCAACTGTGCCTCTGGCTCCCTGTTAGGGAACAAATGGCTGAGGCAGTCTCAAGACTCATCATGACAATTTTTATACACATTGGCCTAACCTTTGTCTTGTTTTTCATTGCTGTTTATCACCTGTTTGAATATTTATAAATTTCTGGACATTTCTGAGATTCATCATCTAGAAAATGCAAGGGAATATGGTAGACCACTACATCATCGGTATCACTCCCTGCAGGAAGGTTACCGCTAACCTGTCAGTCCCAAGTGGGGCCATGTGACTTGCTTTGGTCAACAAAACATGAGCAGGTGAGAAATGAATCATTTCTGGGCAGAGTCTTTCAGAGCCAGGAGTGGTTCACTATGCCCTGTTCCTCTACCCCTATTTCCAGAGGTCCCCAACTTCCAGGATCTAATGTCTGATGATCTGAGATGGAGCTGATATAATAATAATAGAAGTAAAGTGCACATAAATGTAATGGCCTTGAATCATCTTAAAACCATCCCTACCCTCCCACCCCTCTTCCGTGGAAAAATTGTCTTCCATGAAAGTGGACCCTGGTGCCAAAAACATTGGGGACCACTGTTATTCCTTCAGCCTGGGTCTCAGATTAAGGCTGCAGCTGACTGTTGATGGACATGTAATGTGGATGAGAAACAACCCCTCATTATAAGCTGCTGCTATTTGGGGCACATGTGTGCCTGAGCCTCTCCTGGCAATCGAGATCCCATTGGTTTAGCACTTTGCCTAGAGTTGGAGAAATGATCCAAATTCTAGTACTGCACTTATTGATATATTCACTAATGGTAAAGACAGAATTTCTTTAGGCCAAGAGAAAAGGGAAAGCATGGTGAGTGGGAGGCATTCCTTGTTATCAGATACAAAGGGCAGAGATTCTCAGAGATCCCCACTGTCAATCCCCAAAGGCTTCCCCTGCTTCTGGTCATTTCAACAGCCTAAACCCAATGGTTGGGCTAGATAACAAGCTGTGTGTGAGATTTAATGGCTAAACTCCTTTAAACATCTTAAGCAAAATGTTAAAATGCCCTAAGATAACATGTAAATTTGAGACCTCTGGGGATGAGCACATTTGGGGTAACATAAGTTATTGTTTCCTTTGATTTATGGTCAAAAGAAATATAAAGTGTAGCAGGATTCAATTATTTCACAAATACTATTAGGTACCTACCATGTCTCAGGTACTAAGTGGTGCACAAACCACAGTAAATAAGAAAGCCCAGGTCCCTGCCATCCAAGCCCTTACACTGTGGGGAAACACAGACAAGTAAATGGGCAAGGTAAGACAAGCCCTGTGAGGACCGTCCAGGTGACTATGGGGGCACCTGGCAGGGATAGGACGTCTCATACTCCAGAATTAGGGAGTGGGAGGTGAACTAGGAAGACTCAAAACTGAGTCTTAGAAACTGGCTGGAGTCAGTCTGGAGGGACCACATCTCACATGGATAGAAACTTACACTTCACCAAAAGAACAATGAGTTTTCAGTAAGAGAGAGAGTAATCAGATCTGTGTTTTAGCAATATCACTGGCCGAGGGAGGAGAATGGACTTGAGGTCCAGTCAGGGTGGAGAAGAGGAGACAGGGGAGCAGAGAGGAGGATGCTCCATCTAGGGGAGTGCTCATAGTGGCTGAGTCCAGCCAGGTAACAGCAGAGAGGTCTTGTAGTAGACAAACTGAATTGCCTTCTGTCAATAACTTTCAGGTCGTTTCGAGGGTTCTTATTTAACTATTGGAGAGGTGGGGAATCATCAAAGGCAACTTCAGGAATCCTTGTGGACTAGGGAACCAGGCAGGAGCTGTCAGGACACACCCACAGAAACCCATCTCCATCTTGTCTTTAAAATACTAGGAGGAAAGGAGGGCTGCAAGGTCAAAGGGATTTCAGAGAAGCAGGCTGTTTTGAAAAAACTTGGGAGTTTCTTGGTTGTGTCAGGCAAACTGGGTGGGGTCTTATGGGGTGACAGAGGTCTCTTTTGGCTCCTCATCAAAGTCCTCCCCCCGCCCCCTGCCCCCCACGCCTGCCCCCCACCACCACCTGAAGTGGACAAAAGGCGGGGCTGCAGCAGACCACAGCGGGACCACAGGAGGAAAGCAAACAGATCCACCAAAGTGAGGCGCTCAGTGCCTGGATCTGCCACTTCCGTTAAGCTGAGAGTGGCTGGAAAAGCTGAGTAAACCCCCTGATGGGGTTTTCTGAAGCCCTGGGAGCACTGCCCCTTTGAGTTTGTACGGCTTGACTCATCCTGGGCTGCGGGCGTTTCTCAGTGAAGCCAGCTGAGCATCGTGATGTCGGGTGTGGTTTGAACACTTAGGGGCTGGCTTAGCCCCCAGCGTATCCTGTAAACCCTGTCCCTCTCCTTCTTCAAGCTCTAAGACCACTATCCCCTTTGACCAAGCCTTTGAACAGGGTAAGACAGCTGCGGGGCGGAGACCCCTGGGGGGGCGATCTGATTAAACTTTAAGTCACCGAGATCAAGCATGGGTCTTCCCACGCTGATCTCAGGGAGGCCTCACAAGAACCACCCTCAGATGCACACAGAACAGCCACACCTTCCCTCCTACCTGTTTACACTGCTTTCCAGGTGGGCAGCTCCATCCATTCAAAAAGCCAATAAAGAGAACACTGGTTCTACCAGACTGGCTAATCCCCAGTCCTGGTATGATAGTAACAGAACCCGAGGTGTGTGGTTTCTACCCTTATGCTGTCTCTTCACTACAGGATCTCAAGGGTAAATACTGTGTCTCAAACAGTTCCTTATTTATAATCAAAGGCCTTAACCCTACTATTTACAAATACGCCCATCCTGTTTTTGTTACTGTTGTACAGATGTTGGTAACTAAGGCCTAGAGTGACACAGTGCTTTTGTGAATTTATATTATTAAGTCAACACACAGTCAGATCTACACCTGTGAGCTTCTAATTCTGTCTCAGACTAAAATCAGCTGTTTTCTGGACTGCATGAAAGTGACTCCCATTCTCGCTTTAAAATCCATTTTCCTTTATACATCTTCCTTCCTTCCTCTCTACTTTCTTTCTTCCTTCTCTCCATCTTTCCTTCCTTCCTAAAATATACATGGGACATTTTCTAGGGTACTTGCCTCCTGAAGCAGAGCCCAGGTTGGGACTTTTCTGATTCCCAAGGAAGGCCTTGATTTTCATAGGACCTCCCACCACTGCCATCCCTGAAGCTGCCTTCCTGATAAGTTGCCTTTTTACTCCCCTCCTCAACCAAGATCTTCCCCAACAAGAGTCCCTTTTCTTTCTTTTCCTATCAATTCATTTTCTTATCAGAACAGTCACATTCATCAATACCTTCTTTAAATCTGTGATGCATACAATGAAGACTATTGTAATTAAAATCCTGGCAATTCTGAGCTCCCCTCTGTTTTTAGAGGTCTGTAAATTTCATGTGTGTACAGAATGCTAGTAGGTTGTAATTTAAAACAAATGTCTCTTAGCTGTCCTTAAAAATGCCATTTTCCTCCAGGCATGACCTTGGAAATAAAATCATGGATGAAAGTTATAAACCTGAGTGGAAATTCTGAACTGTTGAGGTCATGCTAGTTTGCCAAATTCAGACTTAAATTTGCCTTATTGCTAAATTCAGACTTAAATTGAAGAAAGTGGGGGAAACCACTAGACCATTCAGGTATGACCTAAGTCAAATCCCTTACGATTATACAGTGGGAGTGACAAACAGATTCATGGGATTAGATCTGATAGAGAGTGCCTGAAGAACTATGGACAGAGGTTTGTGACATTGTACAGGAAGCAGTGATCAAGACCATCCCTAAGAAAAAGAAATGCAAAACGGCAAAAGGGTTGTCTGAGGAGGCCTTACAAATAGCTGAGAGAAGAAGAGAAGCTAAAGGCAAAGGAGAAAAGGAAAGATAGTCCCATCTAAATGCAGAGTTCCAAAGAATAGCAAGGAGAGATAAGAAAGCTTTCCTCAGCAATCAATGCAAAGAAATAGAGGAAAACAATAGAATGGGAAAGACTAGAGCTCTCTTCAAAAAAATTAGAGATACCAAGGGAACATTTCATGCAAAGATGGGCACAATTAAGGACAGAAATGGTATGGACCTAACAGAAGCAGACAATATTAAGAAGAGGTGGCAAGAATACACAGAAGAACTATACAAAAATGATCTTCATGAGCCAGATAATCAGGATGGTGTGATCACTCACCTAGAGCCAGACATCCTAGAATGCAAAGTCAAGTGGGTCTTAGGAAGCATCACCACAAACAAAGCTAGTGGAGGTGATGGAATTCCAGTTAAGCCATCTCAGATCCTAAAAGAGATTCTGTGAAAGTGCTGCACTCAATATGCCAGTAAATTTGGAAAACTCAGCAGTGGCCACAGGACTGGAAAAGATCAGTTTTCATTCCAATACCAAAGAAAGGCAATGCCAAAGAATGCTCAAACTACTGCACAATTGCACTCAACTCACATGCTAGCAAAGTAATGCTCAAAATTCTCCAAGACAGGCTTCAACAGTATGTGAACCGAGAACCTCCAGATGTTCAAGCTGGATTTAGAAAAGACAGAAGAACCAGAGATCAAATTGCCAACATCTACTGGATCATCAAAAAAGCAAGAGGGTTCCAGAAAAACATCTATTTCTGCTTTATTGACTACGCCAAAGTCTTTGTCTGTGTGAATCACAACAAACTGTGGGAAATTCTTAAAGAGATGGGAATACCAGACCACCTGACCTGCTTCCTGAGAAATCTATATGCAGGTCAAGAAGCAACAGTTAGAACTGGACATGGAACAACAGACGGTTTGGTTTAAATAGGGAAAGGAGTATGTCAAGGCTGTATACTGTCACCCTGCTTATTTAACTTATATGCAGAGTACATCATGCTAAAAGACAGGATGGATGAAGCACAAGCTGGAATCAAGATTGCCAGGAGAAATATCAATAACTTCAGATATGCAGACGACACCACCCTTATGGCAGAAAGCAAAAAAGAACTAAAGAGCCTCTTGATGAAAGTGAAAGAGGAGACTTTAAAAGCTGGCTTAAAACTCAACATTCAGAAAACTAAGATCATGCATCCAGTCCCATCACTTCATGGAAAATAGATGGGGAAACAATGAAAACAGTGACAGACTTAATTTTCTTTGGCTCCAAAATCACTGCAGATGGTGATTGTAGCCATGAAATTAAAAGACGCTTGTCCCTTGGAAGAAAAGCTATGACCAACCTAGATAGCATATTAAAAAGCAGAGACATTACTTTGCCAACAAAAGTCTGTTAGTCAAAGCTATGGTTTTTCCAGTAGTCATGTATAGATGTGAGAGCTGGACTATCAAGAAAGCTGAGCACTGAAGAATTGATGCTTTTGAACTGTGGTGTTGGAGAAGACTCTTGAGAGTCCCTTCAACTGCAAGGAAATCCAACCAGTCCATCCTAAAGGAAATCAGTCCTAAATATTCATTAGAAGGACTAATGCTGAAGCTGAAACTCCAATATTTTGGCCACCTGATGCAAAGAGCTGACTCATTTGAAAAGACCTTGATACTGGGAAAGATTGAAGGCAGGAGGAGAAGGGGATGATAGAGGATGAGACGGTTGGATGGCGTCACGGACTCGATGGACATGAGTTTGAGCAGGCTCCAGGAGTTGGTGATGGACAGGGAAGCCTGGTATGCTGCAGTACACAGGTTGCAAAGAGTTGGACACGACTGAGTGACTGAACTGAGTTGAGTACACTATTAGCAATAATAATAAGTAAAGCTACACAACACTGATCATATGATGGGTCTTTGGTATTTGAGAAATACAGTTATTCAAATTCTCACAACTCTATAATGCAGTGCTATTATTATCATGATTACCCTATTTTTTTAGATGTAAAAACACCATCTTGGTAGATCAAGTGCTCAGACTGGTCTGAGCTCACATCACTGAAGAGAAATGGAGCTAGGTTTTGAACCCTGGGTGTCTGGTTTCAGAGTCTGTGTTCTTGTCAGATGTGTGGTCACACCCCACCACCTCACTGGCTCTGCCTTGGAGCTGTGTTCTGATCTACCTTCTATAGCAATGTGAACAAAGGTATGGGTCGGCAGGGAGGCGTGGGGCGGGTGGGCAGTTCTCTAAGTGACACTAGTTATTAGCTCACTCCCCTGTGAAGGCCCCTACTATTATCAATCCCACTCCCAGTTGAGGAACTGCGAAGCTAAGGATCTTGTCCAGTGGGATTAACTTGTCCAGTTAATCCAGGTAAACTGGCACCAGAGTCCATGTGATTAACCACTGTGCTGGTGCTTTTGACTCCAGGACAGGAAGGAAGTAGTAACCCCGTTCACACGAGTCATCAGGAGGGGATGTCCTTCTTACCTCTGCCATTCCCTCCACTGCCTTCTGCTTATCCACCTGTAAGATGCCGTTCTTTGCTGTGCGGGACACGTGCAGCTCATGCCAGTGGCCCAGGGTGAGGGGCTCTTCGCTCCTGTTGAAGGAAGGAAACTGAACATGGGTTAGCATCACTGGCATTACAGATAATGTCCACCAATCTGGCTCTGATGAAATGTGCCAACCTGCAGCACCTCGTCCTGTTCAGCAAAGAGAAGAACCTCATTCCTCCTTGTTAAACACAGCAGGGCTAGCTCCATTTATTGGACACCTTCATGGGAGGAGTATCTCACTTATCATTTTACTTATCCCTTATCACAAGTATGAAATGGGGGTGGGATTAGTCTGGATTTTCAAGATGAGGGGGTTATATTAGGGGTAAAATATGATCAGAGTTGCATGAAATCTTTGAAGAAGAGAAAACTATATAGGCTATGATGTAAAGTAGATTCCTTGATGTAATGATGTCTGTAGCATCCTTTGAAATGCATAAAAAATAAGATGGATGGATGGGGGAATATAAGAATGAACAGACACATGATAAAGTAAATACAGCAGAATGCTAACTGTAGACAGTAGGTGGTGGGTCTAAGGTTTCCTGCATAGTTCTTTCAACTTTGCTATATGTTTAAAGTGTTTCATAACAAAATATTTGGGAGGCAGATTCCATGTTGTCTGATATTGTGAAAAAAATTAAAAGTACTTTAAAAATTCAATTATTAATTCAAGATGGAAGCACTTGAAGTTTAAATGATACTGGTAAGATTTTTACATGTTAGATTTTACAGTGAGGTGTGTAAGAAGAGTACAATTATTGCATTTGTGTTTCTAAAGATGTATATATAGTTCCTGGCCTTCCCTGAACCTCCCAATTATTCTGTGGTCCTGGATCATCTTTAGAAACCCACCAGGAATACCAATGGGCACAATTACTGAAAGGTCTCCACCCCCTCACTTGATTTTTCGCTCTGGCAAATGCTTTTGCCATTTGTCCTTAGCAATTAGAATTTAATCACCTTGGCTCAATCAATATGCAATAAAGATCTCGTTCAGCAGCCCATCTCCATAATAACTAACAGCATCTGAGCCTGTTCTTGTCCTATAGAGGTCATTCCCTGTCGATACACTGCCTCCCTCAGCACGGGGATATTGATCGCTGCCATCATGAGCTCATTTCAATTGTCTTGATTTTTGAATCAAGTTCATCATAAATTAGACCACCTTATCCTCTGCCTAAAGTTAAAATGATGTGGCCAACTCCACGGCTTCCTGTAGTTCAGGCTTTCACTGAATTGTCTTAATGAAGCAGGAAGTCTTGGAAGTGGTTTTCAAAATAAACATTTTCCAAAGGGCCATCTGAAACATTAACCATGATGGGTGTTGTCAGTTACATTGCAGAGGACTGGCCCAGGGGAGCAGATGATGGTTACTCTGAGTTCTTGCCTCCTTTTCATCACACCTAATGCTAAAGATTTTTTTTTCCAGGCACCTTTCCTGACAAGCAGGGAAGGAATAACTTACGTTTAAAAAAAAAATTAAAAACACCTCATCAAAAATAGGCACCAAATTATGAAAGGGAGAAATGCTGGATTTCTAAGGTTCCACGTGTCTGTGACCCCGCAGCTAGAGCTGCTGCTGCAGATGTGCAGAGGTCAGGGGGCAATTTGTTCAGGAGGAGGGCTGATGGGCCACGACCCTCTCCAGCCCCTTCCAGTCATTCCTCATCCAGGAAGAAGCCATTTGAAAGTACAAGGTGATATTCAAGGTGTCTTCTTCCTTTCTTGACTTGACAAATTGTTCTAAGTGAGTTATTTAGGCTGTTTTGCATAATCACATGTAAATTGAATCAATTAAATACCCACCAAAGTTGTCTTGAGACACAGGATGTTATTGCATAACCAGAGACACAAAAATATTTGTCCATTCCCCAAGGTGGGAGGTGTCACTGATGTGTAGGAATTCAACCTTAAGGACAAGAATAAACTGTACTTTTAAAGAACTGTTGAAACCTAAGGCAGTAAGCACTTTCCATTAGCCAGGAAAAATGATCAGCAATTAAGGGCAATGCATGGCTTCCCTTGTGGCTCAGCTGGTAAAGAATCCACCTGCAATGTGGGAGACCTGGGTTCAATCCCTGGAATGGGAAGATCCCCTGGAGAAGAAAAAGGCTACCGACTCCAGTATTCTGGTCTACAGAATTCCATGGACTATATAGTCCATGGGGTCACAAAGAGTCAGGCACGACTGAGCGACTTTCACTTTCACTTCATGATTGTAACATCTTACAAAGAACTCTTTCTATAGATGACAGTCTAGCAACATGAATTGTGATTGAATACAGTCCACAACTTCCTTTAAAACAACAACAAAGACTAACCAATTTCTTGCTGCAGGGCACTGTTGAACACAACACCCTAGTGAGTTTCAAAAGAGGAGATTTCTCCAAGTGTAGGAACAAGAAGCATGTGTGCATTAGATCAGCAGGCCTCCGGCTAGAAGATAAAAACTCCCATGGGAGGAACACAGTTAGAAGAGGGAAACATAAACAGATAAGAAAAACACCTGCACCTACAACTGCAGGCTCTGAGGGATTCACAGAGATACTGCCACATTCTATGGGAACAATCGATCTGCTGAGTTGATGTACAAACTAATACAAACTAGGTAACAGAGGGAAAGTTTGGATAACCCAGAACCAAGTCCACAGACACTAGCAAGCCCTTTAGAAGCACTTAGTTACTCCATGCCACTAAAATCAGTCATCACACAGCCTTTTTGACCACACTGGTCAGGGAAGGGTCCTTGCAATCACTGGTGATGCTCTGTCAGCTTCTTTATATGAAGAATGGTAAAAGCCATGCTAAATCACTAGTTGCCATCAAAGAAATAATGCAAGAGGAAAGTTACAATTTAAAGTGAGACCACCCCTATCGACTGATAAATCAATCAGTGATATTTAAGGTGACATCATGTCACACCATGATTATGTGACAGTTATGCATTTATTTGCATGTGAGCATGTATAATGTAATGCCAGTGTGTTCACTCAAGGCTGGTGAGGAAGCTGGTGTCCCTTTGAAATCCTCTTAATCTAATGGAAATGACTTGGTAAGCTTCTGCCAATAGAACATTTGTGGGAAATAGGGCAGATGAATAATGATTTAATGTTTCAAAGTGAAGGCGGCTGTGATACACTCCATTTCCAATGGCCAAAGAGAAAAAAAAAATGTGAGGCCACCAAGAACATTTCTGTTCATTACATTTCTATTGCATGCATGCTACGTCACTTCAGTCTTGTCTGCTCTCCGCAATCCCATGGACTGTAGCCCACCAGGTTCCTCTGTCCATGGGATTTCCCAGGCAAGAATACCAGAGTGGGTTGTCATTTCCTTCTCCAGGGGACCTTCCTGATCCAGGGATCGAACCTGTGTCTCTTAAGTCTTGTGCATTAGCAGGCAGGTTCTTTAGCACTAGCTCCACTTGGTAAATCTCTACTTTTTCAACTAGTTGTTATGTATTTGCCAAGTGCTCACCAAGAGATGCTCTGAGCAAAGTACTGATTGACAATTTATGAAGTTTCTGCTGATTGTGTTGCATGATCTCAGGTGGAGAGGACGACGGTTTACCCCCATCTGAGGCCAGCCCATTTTCCATAGGTCGAAGCAGAGATTCGCTACCTGCTAGGTAGTTATTTGAGAAAAGGAAACTTTGCCCCCAGGAGAGCACGATCTCTAGGAAGCTGAGGGGGGAATGTTAGGTAGTTAGAATAGGGAAAAAGAGTCCAAAATGGCGGTGGCTAAAAGACCTGGAAGGGAAAGCTCGAGAAAATAGAACAAAGGGAGGTCCGAGGACCAGAGTGAGAACCTCAGGAGCTCTACAGAGTTCTACCTTCAGAGACAAAGAAAGAGTGGAGAAATATGAAATTACTGCAAGTTCATTTACATCAAGAGATACGATTTGGGAGCCATCATTAATTTTCACACTAACAAACCATTATCAAAAGGAAGTGTTGAAGTCTCCCACACTGACTATGGATTTGTGTACTTCTCCATTTCTCTAAGCATGGTTTTGCTTTCTACAGCTGGAAGCTCTGTTATTAGGCTGTTAGGTGCACACTCATTTACAATGGAATGTGTTCCTGATGGATTGAGCCTCATATCATTACGAAAGATCCAGAGGGCTTTTTAAAAAACATCATCTGTATTAATCAGGACAGGTTTCAGAAAAGACAACTGTATACAGAAGACAGGAAGACAGTCAACTGGTTGAAGACAAATCTTTCTTCGAAGTGGCTATTGAAGGGAGGAGAGCCCCTGACAGCCTCAGCCCTTACCTGAGAACCCCAGTCCCAGAGCCACAGTCAAAGCGGAACTCCACGTGGCCCCCTGCCATGTTGATGGACAGGAAGTCTTTGCTGCCCGTGTCATAGGTGTATAGGAGCACGCCATCTTCCGAATCCGGCCGAAATGTGATCTCAAATTCCATGAAGGAAAGGTAATGCCGGGGCTCCAGTGGCCAGGGGGTTGCAGCGTAGGACCTCAGAGACTCTCTGAACTGAGGAACGGTCAAGGTGAAAGCTGAAAAAGCAAGTGCGTGGTTTAGAAACTCCTTCGTGCTGGAGCTAGCCATCTTCTTTGCCTCCTGGGTATAGAACTCAAGGATATTTCTCAGCTTCTCTGAAGAGAAGTGGGTGGTGTAGCTGAGCTCTGGCCAGTGGAATGTGTGGGGGGAATAGTACACAGCATTCCAGGTCTGGCCCCTAGAGCTTCCTTCCATCCTCCACTCGCTCTCTCTTCCTCACCTACTGGCTGGATGTGGGAATCAATGAAGGATTCTAAGATCCTAGCGGGCCACTAGAAGGCATCCCTGGATGACTGTGTGGAACAGAGCCACCCCTCTCCCACTGACCTGCAGCGATGTGAGCAAGGACCAAACTTCAGTATGTGAGGCTACAGAAATACAAAGATGGGATAGAACAGCTCTTCCTTACTCTGACTCACAACACCCTCTTTGAGGTGACAAGAGATTTGAAATTATACAGTGTTAAAAAAAAAAAACTTTTCTCTAGGATGATGGTGTCTTAGGGCCGAATCTGAATCACTGGTAGAAAAGATAAAGCTTTTTCATCCCTGCTTGATTTTTTGCAAAATCTTTTAAAAAATTTCCATTATTATTGTGTGTATTTGTCTGTGCATGTGTGTTTGCATGTATGTATACATATATATGTATATATATTAATAATCAATACAGTGTTGAGATGTAGAATAATTCAGCAGAACAGTACAAAGAAGAAGAAACATCACAGAGTTAATGTTTCTGTGTATGGCTTTCCAGCATTTTCTCCCAACTGTCAGATATTCTAAGGAGCCTGAGCTGTGAAATACTTCAAATTCTGACACAAACCACACAAATATAGGCTTTTCATAGTTATTTGAGGGCCAAGAGGAGCTCACCAAAGCATCGGCCCAGGAACATCATAAAATGAACTTGTCTTTTGGCCAGTTTGCCACTTTGACATCTGAAGACACTTCCACCTGGTTTGAAAAAAGATTCTCCCATCCCTCCCAACAAAGCAACGTCAATCCCATAAAAATATGTGGAACCTTGCTAAATATGCATTGATGAAAAATTACACCAACAGGAATTAATGACGCAGACAGAAATCGCCATCAATTTGCATCTTTCTCACCATCTTCACAGTGTCGACCTCGAAAGCCCAGGGGACAGAGGCAAATGTAGGAATCGGCTTTGCTCGCCGTGCAGGTGCCGCCATTGACGCACGAGGCTTCATCACAGATTCCACTGCTGCACTCCCCTAAACACAGAACGGGAATTACAAAGCTGACTCATCAGGTGAACCTGTCCGAGACTGGCCAGGCCCACCGCTTGCGATTCTGAACAAATACAGCTCAGGCCCTTCTCCTGTTGATCAGCTCCTCTGCACAACTGCACACCAGCTTTCGGGAGATGTGGACCCTTCCCTTCATTTTAATCTGATTTTGGTTTATTCTTTATGAGAAGCCACACAGATGCCTTAAGACAGGGTGGACACAGTAAATCAAATAATAAACTACAGGGCAATTTTATGAACCCTGACAGGGATGACGGAGCTGTTTCTGCTGTAATTCACCTCACTGTTATTCCCACAAGAGTGTGTTTCCATGCCTCCAATGTCAGCAGAGGCTTTATGTTAAAAAGCCTTCTCATTTATGTGGCCTCAATTACCTTAAGTGCTGCCCGCCTTATTGGCTGAACGCAGAGGTGGGCAAGATAAGCACAGAGGGAGGTAAGGAGCCTTGTCGAAGTTTATTAACTGACTGGGTTGTCAACTCCTCTGACAGGAGCAGAGAGGGAGCAGGGGTTAGCAGGGGGTTCCAGAATCCTTATTTCTCAGCCCCAAGTTACACTCTCATGAGGGACAGGAAGGTGACCAGAAGTAAAAAGTGCTGAAAGCTTCAACATCAGATGGCTTAGTTCTCTCTACAAATACACATTGGATACACCCATAAAAGGTACTCTTGGTCATTTTCAAGTGTAGTCAGCCAGATGAAATGAAAACAAGCTGACTTTTCCTTGGTTGCTTTTCTTCTGCTTCTCTGCTCTTCCTTTTCTCCTTGTGTATAAGAAATAAATTAGGCAGATGGGTCACAACCTGGCCCAGAACAACACAGGTGAGTCCACACATTTTCTCAGGATGGAAGAAAAGAGGGTGCATCTGTAGTTGAGCCGTGAGCAGTCCAGCTCTGCATCCCACAGTCTCTGATGCGATGGAGCCTGGAGCTCTCCCCCTTCCCCCCACCGCCCCCTCTCCTAACCCCCTCCCCACCGCTCCCGACCTCGTGAGATGAAGATGTCATGATTGTGTCTTCTCAGCAAGATGAGCCTCTTATCCTTTTCTCATCAGTCATCTGTGTTGATCGAACTGATCCAGTCATTTCTTCTCCCAAAGCCTCCTCAGGAGGAGGGGGAAGGGCTTGGCCCACTGTGTACCCAGGAGAGGAGACCGACTTCAGGACCTGATAACACAGTTTCATTTCAGCCCTTCCAGATGGCTCGCCTCTCCAGCTGGGTGGGAATTCCAGCTGGGGGTGGGGGGCACTGCAAGTTCAGGCAGAAGTGACCGCTGGTCTTTTTCTTCAGCCATAGCCCTGAGAACTTCGCCAGCATCCACAGAGAGGCTGACTTGGCTTTAGGGAGCCAAGCTCTCACAGGTCCTCCGGTTCCACCCGTCTCCTTGGGCTGGGAGTCTTTCTCAGAGAAGTGCCATTGCCACAGGAGGAAGTGGGGTCCTTGGTTTATCTTAGATATACACGGGAACAATTCTTTCACATATTTGCTTTGTAACTATTTTTTATGGGTGGGAGGTGACAGGGAGAGGGCTCGAAAGCCAGCCAGAGATGTTTACTTGATGAAAGCAGTGTTTCAGCAAGACCGTGCTGGCAATGGAATGTATGATGGATTGTGAGTGATGAGGGTGGGGAAGAGGAGAAATGCCCACGGGGAGGTAACCACAGCTGGAGAGGCTGATGGCAGAGGAAACGGAGAGAAAGGAAACAATCAAGGGGGAGTAGCCAGTTCATTCTGAGGCTGACGGTGGAGGAAGACTCCAGCGTAAACCCCAAGGCTTCTAGCCTGGAAGATGGAAAGGAGAGAGGCAAGAGGAAAAAAATATGGGAGGCTGGGAACAGGACCAGGCTTCCGAGGAGCGGAGGAGAAGCTGTCTTTTGTTCAGTTTAAACATGAGGTGATGGTGGAAGTGTCTGCAGCTGGGCACCAGGGCAGGAAGACATCCTCACACAGGTGAGGGCTGGTGGGACAGCAACAACCTGGGGGTGAACCTGACACCAGGAACAAATGGGTTCCTTGACAGAGGACAGGATGGAAGGGCCCCTGGGACTCCCAGCACCAAGGAAGGGAGAGGAGCCAGCAGAGAAGACAAAGTGAGATGAGACAACGGACCCAGAGGATCCAGACAAGGTGGGCTCCCAGAAGCTCAGGGAGGTATTACTGCCGGTATTTCAAGATCTCATTGATGCTCATCACTCCTTTGAAAGTATGGTAGTTATTGCACCCACCATTGAAGAATCATGTCTTTATGCTTTATAAAGAATCATATAGGGACTTGCCTGGTGGTTCAGTGGTTAAGAACCCATCTGCCAATCCAGGGGACACAGGTTTTATCCCTGGTCTGGGAATATCCCACATGCCAGGGAGCAACTAAGTCCATGACCCACAACTACTGAGCCCGTGCATCCTGGAGCCTGTGCTCCACAACAAGAGAAGCCACCGCAATGAGAAGGCCATGTACTACAACTAGACAGTTGCCCCCATTCACCGAAACTAGAGAAAGCTCGTGCAAAGCAACAAAGACCCAGCGCAGCCAAAAATAAATCGATTTTTTAAATCTCTTTAAAAGTGCACATTAAGAAAAGAAACATACAGCACTATAATAGCAAAACTTATTATATAGTTTTATTTCAACATAAAATTGTTTCTTATCAGGCATACTGTTTTCTGCATTTGAAAACGTCCTTCTGAGAAGAGTTCCATGGACTTTAACAGACTGCCAAAGGGGTCATGGCACACAGAAGGTTAAGTAACCTTGGGTTATTGAGAAGTAACAATCCTGGCAGCAAGGTCCCAGGAATATAGGGAAGGTGGGGTGCAGACCGGAGATGAACAGGTTAGTGTTAGAACTCTCAACTCTGAGAGCATGAGGAAGGAGTTGCAAGACCACGTGTATAGGCACCAACACATAAAATAACTGACACTGACACCTACTATCCACCGGCTGTTGTGTGGGTTTATGCAAGATAATGAAGTGAGGGGCAGGAGAGAGATGAGGTATTCGTGGAGGAAAGAGAGGGTGGGATGGGGTACACTAAGCAGACGTGGACAGTGAGCAGCCTCCCTGACCCTCGTCTCCCACCCAGCCCAACAATGAGTCTTGTCTATTTCCTCTCCTAAAGATCTGAGGAGTCTGCCATTCCTCTTACCCTCGATCAAAACCCATCATCTCCAATCTGAACTACTGTACAGCCTCCCAGCTGGTCTACATGCACCCCCAGGAAGGAAGACCCCGTCCGATAAGCTGTCTGTAGTCAGAGGGATCTTTCCAAAACACAAACTAGATCATGAGACCCACACCCCCACAAACACATTCCCACTGGGACAGACCATTTCCTCAGCCTGGAATGCACTTCCCTCTCATCTCTGCTTTCTAACTCCTACTTTTGCTTGAGATATCAACTTCACATTACACCCTCAGAAATGCTTTTCTTGAACCCCACCCCATAAATCCCCCTATAATACATTAGCATTGCACTTTCCCTTTGTAACACTGACTCCAAATTGTAATTTTATATTTCTCGAGTGATGATTATTTGATTAATTTGGTCCCTCCTCACAGCAGGTACAGGCTTCCCAGGTGGTGCTAGTGGTAAAGAACCTGCCTGCCAGTGCAGGAAACATAAGAGACATGGGTTTGATCCCTGGGTCGGGAACATCTGGAGGAGGAAATGGCAACCCACTCCGGTTTTCTTGCCTGGAGAATCCCATGGACAGAGGAGCCTGGCAGGCTACAATCCATGGGGTTACAGAGTTAGACACAACTGAAGCAACTTAGCATGCACACACACACATACACACACACACACACATGCATGGCAACTACAGGAGGACTGAGCTGGGATCCTGTCTTGTTCACTCCTTTATCCTAAGCACCTACAGCTGTAACCAGCACTAAGCAGGAGCTTAAGTATTTATTGAGTGGAAAAAAGAGTAAGAGGGTGATAAACCATAGTGTGACCTATGGCTCCTGCAGACTTCACGAATCTCAAATAATTTGGGGAGTTGCCTGCATGACACAGCAGGGTGTGGGGATTCAAGATGGGATTGGAAAAAGTGAGTGGCGGTGGTTTAGGTTGGAGATTTTGGGTGGAAATAATAAAAGAAAACACTGGGCCAAAGTTTGCAAAATTTTCCTGAGATTGCTGACTATTCTAAAATGTGAGTTCAGAGAGAGTCCACTAACTGGAAAAAATTTAATGAAGGCAATGAGGCAGGACGGGTTGAGTAATGAAAGGCCCCTTGGAAATGGCTTTAGTGGTGGGGGGGGGGGGAGGTAGGAGAGAGAAAACATTGAGGTTGAAGACAGCAAGGCCAAGTTAGACATCAGAGGGAGGAGCCATGACTTGCAACTGTCCTCACATTCTTCCGGAAGTCTGCATCTCCGCCGGAAATTACCGCTGTTTACAAGAGCCCAGTCTCCACTGTGCTGAGACCACGTTAACTTATAGGAACTTGGACTTCAACAGAACACACTCAAAGGGAAGCAAATAGGGAGGGTGAGAAAGGATAGCTAGCCCTGTTCTATCACAGAGAAAAAAAAATGGGAAGAAATGAAAAAAGGTCATGTGACCAATGCCTGCCATTAAGATTCATATAATAATAAGCCCATAAATCACTGCAGATAGTGATTGCAGCCATGAAATTAAAAGACGCTTACTCCTTGGAAGGAAAGTTATGACCAACTTAGATAGCATATTAAAAAGCGAGACATTACTTTGCCAACAAAGGTCCATCTAGTCAAGGCTATGGTTTTTCCAGTGGTCATGTATGGATGTGAGAGTTGGACGGTGAAGAAAGCTGAGTGCCAAAAAATTGATGCTTTTGAATTATGGTGTTGGAGAAGACTCTTGAGAGTTCCTTGGACTGCAAGGAGATCCAACCAGTCCATCCTAAAGGAGATCAGTCCTGGGTATTCAATGGAAGGACTGATGCTGAAGCTGAAACTCCAATACTTTGGCCACTTCA